ATTCCAGAGTGGTAAGTGACTCCGCCCAGAACCAAAGTACAAACATAAAACTATAGAATGAATTAGTTTATCTAATACCAGCATAACTGTCAGTCGAAATGTTTAACACAGTTAGATAAATGAGAAATTCAGAAAGAATCGCGAAACTGTTCGAGCTGGAACGCTCTATACTATTATGGTAATCATTCAGGCGCAATTTGAGCCTTCTGAGAATCGTGAAACACGTAGGAATGTTTGTTTTCAAAAACCGCAAATGATATTTCAGAGCGAGAAGAGAAGAAAGTAAGCAAAACCGTCGAGTTTAGACTAAGCTATGATCTTTGAAGTAGAAGCTTGTTCATTTCATTAAGAAACACGTTCCACCCGCTCGTCTATTTATCGTGAGGCACGACCGCTCACTCCAGAAGTCATACTTGTTGAATGAAATTGATGCACTACAAAATAAATTTTTCCGAAAAAAATGTCAGAATTCAAGTGATATAAGGGAAAACGCATTAACTCTTTTGAAAATCATAGAAATTCTTTCAAGTTTTTCATCTGAGTGATGTTCAAATAGAATGGTATAGGAGGCCAGAGTAGTAGCACCACCTTCGGCTGAAAAATATAAATTAAGAAAGCCTGAAAAACAAAGAGAAAGCAAAGAGAGCCTCTACTTAGAAACATTTGTCAGATTCCAAGAGTAAAGAAGAAATATTACTAGTTGGTATATCTCATCGCATTCCAAAAATAGTAGGAGTATACAACACACTATTGGTGATTTTCGAGAGACGTGTCAAGTTAATGTGCTTGAAGCAGCGTAGTATTACCCGAAACGATACCGTTCGATAAAGGCAGTTATTGACCCAGATCAAAATGCAAAGTTGGTTTCGAAGTACTTGCGTATACTCAGATCAGTTTATGTTATTTCATATTTTGTAGTTACAAATTAGACATTGATTGCATCGCTCACTTTTCTCTATAAAACATAATAAGAACTAGCAAAATTTCATGCCCACTAAGAATTTGAAAAAACGATTAAAACTTATTTATTCAGTAAGAAAACTGAAAAATTTCAGGTTATCTGTCTGGATTGTATCCCGAGAACAATATCGAAAATCATTTTCGTTTCTTTTTATATATGTATAATTATATACAGATGATAAATATCTGATGGGATATCTACACAATTGTAATTTCCTTAGATATTTTACAAAGTTCACTGGTAGATTGCTTCTAGCGGTTAGTTGTAAAACAAAAATAACATAAAACATTAACTTAAATGAATTTGAGACCCATCAAAACGGAAAACAGCGCGATTCAATCAGAAACAACGAGATAAGGGTGGGAAAGAAGTTAGATATCCTATAGTCATGAGTGTTACTTATTGAAATGGAGTTATGATACTTTCAGACGGCGAACAGTTAATCGGACAACAGGTTGAAGTTTAATGAGTTGAATAGCTTCATCATGAGTCATTCCTTTCGTATCTTTGCCATTGATGGCTATTAATTGATCTCCAACCTGAATATTTATATGTTAACATGCAAGAGAAGAGATGTAAACTACCTTCAGGCGACCATCATGAGCAGCTGGTCCATCTTCAGCTATTCGAAGAACGAACAACGGCATTGCGCCAAACTCTTGTCCACCACGTATGGAAAAACCAAAACCTCTAGTTCCTCTCTCTAATTCAACATTAATCAAGGGACCGTCCTGGAAAATGAAAAAATAACAACACTGAAGACAAGTTTGAATATTCCGAGTTCGAAACAGAGGAAAATCTATTTTTTACAGATATGACAGGTGAAAACTAAACGATGAAAGAAACTTAATGAATAGTGGTTATATCATGCTTTGGTCACGGAATGGAAGAAGAGGTTCATTAGGGTGGTAGAAGTGTTTTTAAGATTTGCATAACAAAAACTAGAACAAAGCAAGCAGCCTACATGAAAGACGAACGAACCCGACATATAAAGCGCGTAGTTTCCTTATAAAGATATAAATAAAGGTCATTTCCATTTGATCAAATCCAAACAAGCTAATGACGAAGATTGGGTAAGATGGTATTCAAATCGTTTTCAAATTCATCGAATGAAGTCATCATAGCATCCAAATCATATTGCTCAGTATATTTTTCCAGAGAACAACTTGATTCCAATAAACGAACCAATGAATCTGCACTATTCCTTATATTACAAGTTTGAGCAAGAATGGGTGTAGCTGTTTTAGAAAACTGAAAAGTGCCATAACACGATGAACAAATAACAACGAAGGACAATTGTAACACATTTCAAAGGACAAAAAAAACAAATTCTTGGCGAATGATTAAAAAGTAAAGCGTTCGGGGAATATGAAGTTTGAGCTTAAAGTAGCTAATTGTACCTGTTCATTGAAATTTAGTGCTCCGAACTTCTGTTGAATTTGATGATATGATGGTGTTTGTCCAGGAGCGACGCTCACAACTTTAGCCCGACCATATTCCGAGTAAATACCATTGTTAGTAGAAGGAAGTGTTGAATATTGAGCATAGTTTGATGATGGAATCTATAAAGAAATAGGTAATGATGGATTAACTGATGTATTTACCGTAGAATAGTTAGAAGTTGGTTTGAAGGCAGGTGGATTGATTGAAGGACGATTTAAAGTGCTCGTAGCTAATGGAGTTTCAGGTGAAGGTACAATTGTTAGCCGAACAGATAATCCAGATGTCTGAAAACGGAAATTAGCTATCTCTCTTTGAATGATAGCACTAACCTTTATGAGATTAACAATATCGCCATGACTCATGTTCAATATATTGATCCCATTTACAGCAATAACTCGATCTCCTACTTTCAGCTTTCCACAACGGGCAGCCGGAGAATTATCCAAAATTTGTCCGATTGTTGATCCATTGCGATGAAGCGATGAGAGAATTATGAAACCGAAGCCATCGGAATCTTGTCTATTCAAAATAACATCAAATTCATCCCCAGAAAGTCCAATCGAATGCAGATGATTTTGCTCGGCCGGATGAACTTGCTGGTTTTGAGGAATTTCTGACTTCGGCCTTCTAATGACCATCTTCACATGCTTATTTCTGGCTGCCTGTTCAAGTAAAGCCACTGCCTCTGAATGAGTCGCTCCTTCAACATTTTGACCGTCAATCTAAGTTGAAACTGAGAAAAGAAACTGGGATATAGAAAACCTCTATGATTTCATCTCCTTCGGAAAGTCTTCCATCTTCGTTTGCAGCACCACCGGGGACAATTTGACCAACAGTCAGCATAGTGCTAGTCTAGAAGAAAGTGAACAGTCTTCCGATGAATGAGAAATTAAATTTTTACCTCACGTCCTCCTAGTAAACGGAAACCAAATCCCATTGGCTTTCGAATGAGATTCACTGTCACGAGATCTGTTTGAAATGAACTCAATGGCATGTAGTTGGGCGTGGTAGCAAATCCTAGAGTTGTGGAAGATGCTCGCATTCGATAGTTTGGATCGTCAGGTAAATTATTTTGCTGAAAGGAAATCTACCGTCAAACCACAAAAAAATCGAAACAAACTCTTTGGAGGGTAGAAGGTCTCGAGTAATAACCAGATCTGTTGTTATTGTTAACTGTATCTGTTCCGTTAGGAATGATTTGCGAGTCGCGCTGAGCAGGTGCAGGAGTTTTCGATCTTGGGGCTAGAGAAGGCAGAGGTGTTGTTCTTTGTTGTTCGCCGTAGCGGAAAGCTGCCGTAGGGGTTCGTGACCTGAAAAACCCAAAGTTGACAAGGTTTTTTTGGTAGAGCTTTTTTCATTTATTTGAATACGATGCAAGAAGAAGTTTGATGTTCTCCGATAGTCAGACCAGCTACTCAAACTTCATCAAAATTTTAATCACATCGAAATGTCAACAGATGGCGCTCGTTAGACAAACGAATCTTTCGTTTTTCCTGGCAAAATTTTTTTTAATTCGAAAGAAAGCACCGGGAACTTAGCAAACGATGGCAATACTGGAGTTCAGAGGTAATTTAATTTTTACTGTTAAAGAGAGAAAGAAAATAGCACAAACCTATGCTTGGGTGAACTTCGTCGAACAACTAAACGTCCTCTATGTCCTACAGGACACTCATGCAACATGTCAACCAACTGTTGATGAGGAATCGATCTTATATTACGACCATCTAGCTCCACAATCGTATCTCCTTCCATCAAATTTGGACATTGGGAAGGAAACAGAATTTTTTTTACACGTTGCCCCTTAGAAATGAGAAGATAGTTAAAATACGATGGCGTGCTTGAAGAAACCTGTGGACTATCAGCAATTTTGAAACCAAAGCCATCAGCTCCTTTATAAATATCAATTTCGATGAGTTCTCGCTGAGGCTTTTGCATTGTATATGCGTTTTCGGTGATTATCTATACAATAATGATTTGAATAAGAAACAAGAATAAGTGTTAGCTTACCCTGTGTGAAGGATCTTGCAATAACGGATAACCGCGACATACTTGAATAGCAACTGGATCACCAGCGGCAATATTCAAAAACACACGACAAGCTTCAGACTGAGTTGCTCCAAGCAATGTTTGGCCGTTTACCCGTACAAGGATATCACCCGGCTCAAGTTGGCCATTCTCTGCTGCAGGACCACCAGACAAAATTGATTTGACCTATGAAATAATCAAATAAATTTTTATGAAAAGACGGAAAAGAAAATATTTCCTATAACAACATTTTGACGAATTCAATAATCATATTCAGCATTTGAGCAAAGAAGTTCGAATGAATGTGCAAATTGCGTTAAAATTCTGAGAAAGTTTGAGTTTGAATTGGTGAACAAGCATTTTTTGAACAAAACTTCTCTTGTTTTGTCATTAACATTTCAAACACTCAAGATTTCCCATTGGCTTAACTACTTGTTCAACACTTCTGAGAATCTCAATAACCAAGGTTCCTATACATCTAGTAAAGAAGGTTCAAATAGTTGTTCGTTGCGTTAGAAAAATATTTTTATAGAAACTTTGAAATTCTCTTCTTTTTCCGTTTTCACAATTCTCTTCTAGTTTTCTTTCTTCTTATTTCACTATTTCTGCTTCATATTATTTATCAATTTTCTTCCGAAGCTGAACTTCCGTATGAAATCATGTAGCGAATCACTCTCATTCTTCTGGTTTCGCAAAAAAAAGTTTTTTTTTAGAATTTTCCGTAGACTTTCGATATGGCTTTTCGCACGCTCTACTCGTTTCATTCAACCAAATAAAGCCATCTCTCTCATATTGTTTTCATCCTGTTTCGAGTTTATGGAATGAACCTTCAGACCCCCCCTCCCATCATGCTGATGAGACTGAAGAGAGTTGCGTTAGTTGCAGCTTTAAGCCCATTATCGCTTTGAACTACTCACTCAGCTTCAGCTTTTGTGACTCAAAAGAGGTCACAGATCGATAGATGGCAAGTCGATTATCCTTATGCAATTCTTTCCCCCAGAGATTTACTATTAGTATGATCAAACAAGCTTAATATGCTCAATGAATAGAGTTGAGTTATAAAGAACAAAAACAAAGTTTTGCAGCTCTATCGAAGAATGAAAGAAGTTTATCAAAAACAGGAAATACTTTCACTGTTTCACAGGAAGAGAAGTTTTCAACATACCTGTATGAATTCATCACCGTTACTTGATGAATCGTTTCCGATCAAAGTGAAGCCGAGGCCTTTTGGTCCCTTTACGATAGTCGTAGTGATTAAATCTCCCTAAAAAAAAGCAAAATAAAAACTCGTTCATGCTCACATCAGTTGCTTAATACCATCAACTGATTGGGATCTCGCGTGAAAAAATATTGTCTTGGTGAATTCCCATTAGTGCTTGAATAGTTCTTAGTAATCGGGGGAGATTGTCTTATATGGCCGTTATTCATCGACTACAATAGCATTATGAATTTAATAATTCTTAAACATAAACTCCTTACCCGACTGAGAGTGTTATTAAACGGGAAAGAGGGGGCCGCCTGCGAATCATATCTATTTGAAGATGATGTAAGAGATGGGTGCTCATATTGAGTTCGACGATTAACATGACTGAAAACAATAAATTGTATTTGTGGCATTCCTATTAACTCAATGATTTAGAAAAAAAAGTTTACGAACGCTCTGCTTCGTGATTTAGATACAAGCTCTTCGTTCTCATCTTCTGCGGTAGCAGTTAGGGCATCAGAATAAGTGACGGTCAAGTCATCATCACGATAAGCTTCATCCGATGAAGTTACAGACGATGGGGAGAACATAACATTATGTTTGATGATAGGTTTAATTCCAAGATGTTCAACTGCCGGAATATTATTCGGCTTAAAGTAGATGACATCAGTAATCAGCTGAGCTCCAGATGGAGCATCTGATGATTTGGGCAAATTGCCGGAAGCAGTTACGCTATTGGATGTATCATGCATTCGCCCGAGGGTAGAAGCTTTTCAAAAAATGAATCGAGTGAATCGCTTAGAAAAAGTAACTGCTCGAACAGCCAATAAGGAACGTATCAGATGTAATCCAGATGTACGAGCAATAGAAGGTGAAAAAAATAAGAATGTTCAAGTATTAAGTGACCATCCAAGAAAGAGTTAAAGCTACTCCCAATCCAGTATATCAACTAATTAGCAGCAAGATAATTGTCGTTAGAAGATATTCAACCAATTCGCACACACTAACATATAGCTGGAGGGGATGTGGGAGGGGATCAATAGAGCATTCCGGAGGCGGAGCAACGTCTTTAGTCTTCGTCTTTAGGCTCCAAGCATTCTATTTGAAGCTCAAATCGGCTTTCAGGGCCATGTAAATGGATGTGAAAAGCTGATATGCCAAACAGAACGAACAAAAAATTGAGAACATCCAAAATAAAAATAAAAAAATCTGGTAACGGGAGAGTTAAAGCCAAAAATACCCATTAAAAGAGAGCATAATTTAGTAGATCAGTATCTCACCCAAAATGACAACACCGCTCTTTCAATGGCAATCAAAGTTTCAAAGTTATAAAGTCTGGAGATCGGAAGAATAGGACAAGCCCAACAGCAGATTCATCATAATCCACTGACATGCCAGGTGGAAATATGACAAATTGCTCCAGATACTTGAAGCTTTCGATATTAAACAGAAATTTGTATAAAGAAGCAAAGGAAATGAATCGAAACTTACTCTACGTAAAATACTCCATAATCAGGATCCAGGACTTGTTCCCAACCATCTGGTAAATTTCTTGGGTCATCCCATGTTGTTGTTCCAGTATTATGACTATAAATAAGAAGAACATCAATATGTATGCAGGAAGGAAGGCCGAAAATTTATGCGAAGAAAAATGAAATAACTTTTCAAGTGATCAAAAGCCACGTGGTAGTTCTGACGTAAAATACACGTGAAATACACGTGAAACGAGAAAACAGAAAGATGAAGCTTGTCTTTAAACGTAAAAGAAGCTCCATAAAGATTGACAAGGAAATTAGAAATAACACTTACTCTATAAAATATTTTTCTCCATTCTCTGTATATCCTATCTCCCAACTGGGTGGAAGTGTGCTAAGAATGTTTCTCGCGCTAGCAACCATCTGTTGTTCCGAAAGCTCCGACTGTTTAAGGTGTTGTGCGTCTTCCAATGGACGGGGTGTGCCGTAAAGATGACCTGAAATAGAAGGCAACATAAGAAACATTGATAATAAGAGTAGAATAAATAAATAATATAATTAATGCATGATAAGAAAGAGATGTAAGCTTATAAGGCGTTAGATATTGAAGTGTATTGAGAGAGTGAGAGAGGAAGGGAGAGAGCCGACGCTTAAAGGAAGATGATCATCAAATGAAGCGAGAAGAGGCAGATGTTTGTTTATGGACATCATCCATAATTATAATATTCAATCTGTATCATCAAAGGCGACATCATCATTGAATATCATTTTCACATGCATATGTTAATCATTTTCTGTGAAAATTTTATGACAAAAAAAAAGCTCAGAATAAACAGGAATGACCAATTCGCTCTGTATGAAAACAGGGAGGAAATTAAATAGAATAAGAAGAACAATTTGATCAACAAAATTATCACATTGATAAGAAAGACGGACATCATGAAAATGAGCTTAACTATACATATTGATGTATTTACATAAATATATAGTTACTAAATAAGATGAAGATGATTCACTAGATTCTCATAGCTTATGTCAATATGAACAGCCATCTATTTCTTCCACAAAACCAAAAATTGTCATCAACTGATGAGGAAAAACCATAGTTGTCATCAACCATCATCCATCTAAAGCTTACTCATCTTATATTCTTTTTTTCTCATCTTTTAAACAAAATATTCGAAAGCAGTTCGAAATACTTTAGCAAATAGATTAAGCTAGAAGAATCTTATCAAACATATAGTTAAATAGAATACATTTCTATAAATGCATATGAACTCATTGATGACATGAATCATTTTTTTTTGTGAAAAATTTCTGACAAAATGTGGTTCTTGTACTTCAGATGAGAATTTGAGAGATGTAAAGGACAAATTTGCATTCCAAATAACTTTTAACACTTCGAACATCACATTTTCATAGAGGAAACTTATCAGAGAGAAAGAAATATAGAGAGATAGAGAGAGATAGGCATAGAGAGAGAGAGAGAGAAAGAGAAATAATGAATGATCAGTTGAAAAAAATTTCAAAACATATGCTGATTAAATGAACCAATCATTTTTCAAGAATCATCCATTCAAGAATTGTTTAAATTCTTTTCATATGATGATGAATCCGAAAAATAATTGTTTGACTGAATAACACCCAAGATGGATAAGAACAGAAAAAATAAAAGAATGACGAGATGAAAAAAAATCAACCGCCCTCTTCGTAATCAGTTTGTGAATGAAAGCTTCATTCTTTCAGATACTGAATTAGCATACATCACTTATCCAGATGGGATATGTTTCAAAATAGAAATAAAAGGAAGGGCAAACAAAATAATAAAAAAAAGTAAATGAGTCAAATAACAAAGGAGGTAAACTCAAGAAAACGAGAGAAACGTTAGATCTAGGGCAATGAAAGGAATACGAATAACATAAGACGTGATGCTTATCAGATTGTTGGCTCAGATCAAGTATGAAAGAAGTGGGGAAACGAGGAGATTCTGAGAATATTCAAAGGATCGCAACAAGAGCCTTGTTTACAGAATTGTCTAACATAAGCGATTATTGGGTTAGAATGAACGATTAACACATGTTAATTCACTAATATTCATAGTGTTCTTGTTCAAATTTTTTTTGTGAAATAGACGACAATTGATACCTGCTTCATCGACGGAACGCCATAGTCTTCGGAACTTCTTTAAATGCTTTAATGGCGTCCGAAACAGCGAACTTTTCTTCTCAGAACATTGTGAAGAGAACTGCTTAGGTTTTCGACTGTGTACTTCCGGATTTTCTTTCAACACAGAAGAATCAGTAGAAATACCGCTTTTTCCAATAGATGAGGTACTAAGGTAGAGGCTCATAGAATTAGTGATGGAAGAAATGCTTGCTGATTGAGCTTCAACTTTAGATGTTGACTCGTTTGATGCAGGAAGCTTCGTACTATTCGAGGTAGATGAGCAACGAAGGAAAGCTCCAAGACGACCAGCTAATCGTTTTTTCGTTGAAGAGAAGCTTCCATAACTTGTCTTTTCACCAATCATTCTCAAGCTAGACAACAGCGAGCCGAAGAGAGAAGAAACAAGAACGAAAGATGGTAGAACAATGTGATGAAGATGAGCATGTCTAATAGGTTCATTTAGAGTCAGTTAAAAAAGTAAAAGATCGTTTGAGAGAAAAGGAGAGAGAAGAAAGGTCTTTAAAAAGAGAAACAGTCCAGTAAATGGCAAACTAACACAGTACCAGGCAAGTAATCGAATTTTGTTTTCTTCACAGGACAACATGGAACATGAGAGAGTAAGTTTCGAGAAGAAGCAGAAAAAAAGATGGAGACGTTAAAAGAAACTAGCAAAGCGATAAAGAGAGAGAGAGAGTCAAATTGAGAGTAAGACGATGGCTATGATAGAAAGAAAACAGGGTTTTCTTCATAATTCAGCGATCCCTACATTTTTTCAGAAGTTCAGTCTCACTTCATATGAATGTTAAAACGATAAAACAAGCAAACACTCCCTTTACAATTCATAATGACTCTCATTGTTGGAAAAAATTGATAAGAAAAAGGAAATGATTGACCTGAGCTCTTGATTGAGCTTGAAGAGAAAACTATTTGTCGAACATAATCAGTGATAGGGAGAGAAAGAGAGAGATATCAATTCTGTTCAATCATAAGTAAGAGTTAGAAAAAAGGGAGGAAAATGTTGTTTGATTCCAGAAAAAAAAAAGAATTGATGAATGTTCCGGTCAGAAGCAGAGATGCCCTAGGGCATCAGTGATATTTCACGAGTAAGAAAGAAGTCAATTCTGTTTCTCTAAATTAGGAAATGACCAGCATTGCTGCACAAATGGTTGAATATGAAAATGCTCAATCAAGTTGGAGAAGAATTGGCAAAAAAAACGAGAATTGATTCAAAAAGTCAACAGAAGAAAGAGAAGGATAAATGGATTTGAAAGATGAAGAAACTCATTGTTGGTACCTTTGGTTTCAAATAAAAAAAGACAATGAAAACATCTTTGATCAAACATTGGAGATTTGAAAATCAAAATTGAATCTCGAGAGGTAGACATAAGCCAACGATCTGTGGGAAATATGAGGTTTGTGAGCATGGCTGTCAGTTCTCTTTATAAAGTTAATTACAGTCAAATTATGAATGGTCGACTCATAAGATGACATTGAAGAAACAAAAGAGAACAAATTATGAAAGGATTGGCGACAATGGTGGAATGAGCGAGGAAGATATTCGAACACGGAACTCTGTTTTAACAGATTGTAATGGCTAGAAATGAGTAGAAAATCCAAAACTGAGAAGTATCTCTCTAGTGAAACAACAAACAGTATTGATGCAAAAGGTGAGGAAGACATGGCAAAGGTGAGAAGAGGGGGAGAGAGGGATAGAGAGGGCGAACGGAACAAACTTAGTAGAGGTTATAAACAATGAAGAACAAATAAATTATAAAATAAATAATTTTCATCAATGAAAATTTTTTTTCATTTGTATAGGAAAGAGAAGAAAAAAAGAAGGAAAAAGAAGGATGAGGCATAAAAATTCGAGAATGATCAAGAGTGAGAACAGGTTGAAGGATAATATAAGAAAACCATGAGCTCAAAGCTTTGAACAAGAGCTCTGTAAACTATGTAACTGAGAAGAATTAACTGTAACTCATCCTTCATTGGATTCATCTTCAAAGGAAGAGGAGCGTCCTTTTTCTAATTGTTGTTCATATCGATTGGCTGACCACCGGACCGACTGACTACAACCTGACGACTCTTCTCTTCACGACCTCTTAGAGACCTTAGTGAGGAAAGAAGATGAAAAAGGTGAAAAAAACGGAAGAAAGAAGATTTCGAGGTTGAGTAGAGTAAAAAGGCATCAAAGACAAATTAAAATGAAACATTGCGCTCAGATCAAAATATTCAAATAATGGAAACGACCAAGTCTTCTACTAGTTAAACATCCTTACAACGAATAAACTAGTTTTTTAAGATGAGTGACCCTTCTTCTTACATAAACTTTCATAAATACGAGTAATAGCGATAGAAAACTCAAAAAAAAAGAATTATACTGTTGGGCGGGTAAAACAAGTTGGAAAAGATTGGAAGTTTGTAAATTGAAGACTCACAGCATGAAAAAAAAGCAACAAGAAAACGATTCCGAAAAACATTTGATTTCAAACAGTTGTACAAGAGAAAGGCAACAGGGAGTGAAGAAATGAATAACTCACCTTGATATGTCCCATGTTCCAATAATTCTCCTTCAGATAATAAACGATTGAACTCAACTGTTGTAACAAAGCGGTAATGCTCTCCATCCACTTCCCCATCTCTCGGAGGCCGAGTAGTGTCTGAACAAATGCGAAGATTGTTCTGTAAAGCTTATTCAACTAACATGGAACGGTTTTCACGTATAGATTGTCTCGAATTACTGTTTGAAGTTCAGCATAGTCTCTGTTAGCCAGAATTTCACGGATATCGTCAGTACAAGCGTCTGGAAATCAATGATATATACAGAAGTATATGATGGATGAGGTATACTTGCTGGTAGTATTTCCAAAGCGATCTGTTCCCTCTCAAAACAAACTTTCCCCAATAATCGCATTACTTCAGAACGAGCCATGCCACTTATAGATCTGAAATTGCGAAATTGTATTTTCACAACCTCATGAAAGCTCTACATTTCATCTATTGCCATCAATCTGTCACCGGAAGTTAGTATACCAATCAAGTCATCTCTCCTCACTTTGTCAATGATAATTAATCTGAAGCAAGGTGACAACATGAGTTAGATGAAATCCCAAACTTGGCTTCAGATGCTCCCCCGCTGACCGTGAAAGGCAGCATTAATCGGGCTATATCACTTGATACATCTATTGTAGATGGTGTTGATGCACAAGGAACTCGAATTAGACGTCGAGCGGCCAGATTGACTACAGCTGATGAGCTTGTGGAATCTGGAAACCGTAACATTAAGCACTTTTGTAAACGAAGCACTGTTTTCATTCCTGCAGCTGATTTTTTGAGTGAGCGGTTGTTCATGCGAATTCATTTTTCAATAAATGGCGCGCTGAGCGGTCGGTTATAACACGAAATATTGGAAAAGGAAGTGTTTCATTGCATTTTTTTCAAAAAATCATTGAACTATGTAATATCAAATAAACTGAATTGGATTAGAGAAAACAAAAAAGATTACTTTTGGAGGTAGTTGAATCTTTACTAAGGCAGCCTGATGATGATGGTGATTGAGCACAGTCCAACATTCGGTCCAGAGACATCTAAATGAGATACATATAAATTGAAAAAAAAGAAATATAAAATTTATCTTGTTAGAAGATGATCTCAAATGAAATGAAAGAGATGAGTTAGCGTAATGCTCTTAGAGCTTAATATATTACCCATTCATCTATCAATCGATAATGCTAATCATCTCATTATTTTAAAAGCCATGTGTTGGGTTGAAGTAAAAATTGAAAGATTCTTCATAAAAATTGACAAAATTATTCATTTGTGAGAATAAGAAGTTCTACGCATTTACAACATCTGGTTGGGGAAAATGAGGAGCAAGTGGGAGAGTAAGCAGAAAAAAATTTTGAAAGAAAGAACTTTTGCCAAATCCATTCAAGGTATTGCCCAGATGGTTGCATTGGAATAAAAACTTGAGCAAACAAAAAAAACTTCAGCAGTACCTGCAACTTTCCCAGATCCTCGATTTCTTTACTTAAATCAATAGCACTGTCTTTATCCGCATCATCTGCCAAGACTGTCGTGGTTGTTGTGATTGAGTTTCCATCAACAGAAGAGGATGGATCCTCCAGACCCGTAGACAGATTAGCCATTGGTTCCTCTTCTGCTACGGGTTCCATTTGAGAAAAGTGAAAAAACAGCTTTTCAAGCAACTATCGAACTTCACAACACTTATCTAAAGCACAAAAATGGTAAAACTTCCGTGAACAAAGAACGAGCAAAGCAGAAATACGAATTTCAGATGAAGAAAAAGAAAAAATTATAACAAATGCATGTTCGAGCATTGAAATAAAATCAAAATATGTAGGAGTAAATTGTAAAAGCTTATAGTTTATATAAAATTATTTTGAAAGAACATTTCTTCTTGAAAACATGTCCAACGGCAATTCATTGACAGCTTCAGTCAGGTGAGACCAAGTGATAAATGAACTCTTAGAAAGCACAAAAGAGTGGAATAGTTCGTTCAGCAACGAAAATTCAGAAAAGAAAGAGAGAATTTCGGATTCCTGTATACACGATGAGGTCATTGATTATGAAATAAAAAATTAAAATTTCAACAACAACAAAAAATGAAAAAAAAACGAGAAAAAGGAAACAGAAGAAGCTGCTAAAACGAGGTCACCGGTTCAACGAAGAGGAGTCGAAGCTGTCAGTTTGCCCAAGGGCTCAGAATTAATAGCCCAAGGCTGACATTAGACAGACGACGTTTGAACAAAACGATAAACAGTTTGGGCGGTCAGAACGTCAAATTTAACAGATTTTCACTGACAGATTTTGATGAGTTAAGTTTCATTTCCTAAGCATCAGAGCTTTAAGATGAAAGAAAGGAACGAAAGTTCGCATCTGTCAAGCTGCCCTAAAGCTTTAGTTGAAAGTATTGTTTATAAAACAAGCAAGCTTATATGAATGAATAAGCCATATAAAGCTTTTGAATTCTGTGCTGGTGGATGGAAAAACCATGTCCGGTCAACCTTCTCTTATTCATTTTTGCAAGGCTGTTCACCCTTTTCTCTCGTTACCACAATTTTTTGTTGGATAGAGAGAGAGGGTCAGAGGAAGAGAGAGAGAAAGAAGATGAGAGAAATAGAGAATGAGAAGGATTGAGAAAGAGAGAAACTGGGAAAGAGAGAAACTCACTAAACGTCAAGAATGAAACCTAAATGACTCTTTTCCGATCTGAGGCATTATGTATAATATTTCATACTGATTGATAGCTCATTTTATGGCAAATCTATATTTGGTCAAGCACGTAGGGAAACAGAAAAAAACAGGTGTGATTATAAAAGTATTAGCAATAAATCGAAGAAGATGATGAAGAAGCAGACAAATGAATTGAAAGAATCAATAAAAGCTGACTAATCGAACCAGCTGTTCTTAACCGCAAACGGGAAAAGTAATAATAATCACGATGAAATATTCAACTCAACACATCTCTCTTTCAAAAGGAAGAAGAGTTCCAAGTAACTTCAAGATGTCCGAATGAATCAGAACAGCTTGAGAGCGTTGTTGGTGTCGATAACTTGCTCACCAAATCGCAAGAATGAATGAAATACTAAGGAAGAACCAGAGAGAAGCAGAAGCTTTAGTTTTAACAAGAGCACTCAAGCTAAAGCTCTGATGACATAAGTGCAAAGAGATTTGGTAAAATGCCGTAAGGCAATACATGCCAAAGGTTTGAAGTTACTACCTCGCCTTCAAAGCGGACAAAAAAAACTTAAAAGAAGAGTATGAGAGAGAGATAGATAAGAAGAAGAAAAAAAAAGAAGAGGAGAAGAAGAAAAAGCAGAAATAAATTACTTGAAAGCAAAAAGAGAGAAAGAAAATGGCTGAAGAAGATTAGGAGAACGAGGCGAAAGCTCAAGTAAAAAGAGAAGATGGCGTGAAAAATGATAGGAGCATCTATTTCAGGGAAATAATCAATTTAAAGGATATAATGATAACAAGGAATGTTGGATAAAACAAGCTGATGATGTAAGATGGATAATCTATTTACAAAAAAACAAGAAATTATACAATTTCATATAATAAATAACAACTCATGTTGGTCATTGCCTATCAAAATCTGTTAAATACCAGATGTTTCCATTGCCATATATGAGTACAATCAATCAATAGCATTTCCGGAAAGAAAAGATGTTTATGTTTACAAGACAAAACTAATCAATAATAGATTTGATATTGATTTTTAAAGGTTTTTCTTTTCTTTTTTTTTGAACAAAAATTTTTTATATACATCATGTAAAGAGGATATACTACTTCAAATCAAAGACATTAGATAGAAATGTCAGTGAACACCACGACATCATGAAATCGGCGTCCCACAGCGAAGACAAATGTGTCGATGAAGATTCAATCTTGTCAAAAATTAGGAAAAGCTTTTAATCAAATATTATTATTCGAATAAAAACATTCAGATTTACATTAAAACGTCTTTGTTGCCTTCAGATAGCAAATGAGGTCCAGATGAATGGACACATTTGAGACATTGAAAGACATCAAAAGTAAGCATAAAGAGTTTACAAGAAGCACGATTGAGAAGAGGAAGAGCACAACAACAGCCGACTGTCAAATTTATGAGAAAAAATATATCTTCTGTAAACAAAAAGGGTTAAAAGGCGATCGTTCTGCTTGATAAATTATCAAAAGAAACCTCATTTGTGATAGAAATGGAGAAAGAAGGACAATCCTTTACGATGAGATGAAATCTTTTTTTTTATTTTACAGGCAACGACAATTTAGAAGAGAAAACAATTCATTCAAAGCTACGTTTCATCTTTTCTTTAGTTCAATTACAAACATTGACTCGAATTGGTAGAAAAGATCGAAGAGAAAGGCTTTTAAGACTGTGAGAGAGAGAAAAAAAAAAGAATAAAAAAAAAGAAACGAAAGAAGGAAGGAACAAAAATAAAACTTTCTAAAAGATAATCAAAAACACAAAAGAATCTGTAGGCTTTCTGGTCCATCTATTTTTGGAAATTAAGAAGAGGATGAAAAATAATGAAAATAAAAAAGAAATAAAATGAGATAAGTGCAATTATATCCATAAATGGAAATATGACTAACGTGAATGAACGCCAAGGTTCAACATGTATAATAAAACAATTAAAAGATGATATAAATCAAAATATAAAAGAACAACCGCTTCAGAGCGTCGACGGAAACCGAAATGATTTGAGAGCGCCACGCATCATAGAAAACCTTCACGTGAGTTTTGACGTATTCTAATTATGGTCATCATCCGATTATTATCATTCAATCTTTTCATATAAATTCCTTTTTTTCTGTGTGTTTTAACAAGAAATAGAGAAATCTGATAAAAAAACTTGAGATATTTGAAAATTGGAAGAAAAAAACCAGAAAATGAGATGAGAAATTTGTAAAACCGGGAGGAAATGAATGATGATGTGATGTGACATGCAACTTATTATGATAGAAACAGATAAAGAAGATAATCCTGGAGGTCAAAAAGAGAGAAAGAAAAAGAGGAATTATAATAGAGAGAGAGAGAGAAAGATAAAGAGAGAGAGAGAGAGGAAGAATAAGAAAAAAAGACAAAATTAATTAACTTGAAAACATAAAAATGACACAACACATCGTTCTCTTATACTTCATAAGAAAGTGTTTCTATCAATAATCTGTTATTACCTCATTTGTAAATTCAATATAATCGTTTGATAAAAATCAATAAAACATTTTATTTTATATATATATATATGTATATGTTTATATATAATACAAGAAAATGTGTAGTTTATGTACAATGAGAATATCTATATGAAGAAAATGCCAATCACTATCGAATATTCTTTGTTGTTCATTCAGCAGGTCTCCACGACCATTTCAATTATACAATACAGATGAGTTAAGAGGGAAGAAGAGAGAGAGAGAGAGAGAGAGAGGGAGAGAGGGTGATGAGAGGTGAAGTAGGGATTAAGAGGGAGTAAAGAAGGATACTTTAGTTGAAACATTGAATGAGTGAGGAGATAGCCTCGAGCGATGGCACGATTTGTCGAAGATTCTAACCATTTTTTCGCTTAAAAATAAACAGGAAATTGTGTGCAAATAGGTTTATTTTGCCCTCTGTTGGACATTACAAGACGAAAGAATGTATGTTGTGGAGCACGGGCTTGAAAAATAATATGAAGAGAAAATACTCGTAAGGCCAACAACAAAAAGTTGAAACAAATGAATTGCCTCTGGCTAAATTAACATACAAAAGGGTTTTGTAAAAAAAAAAAAGAAGAAGAAGAAGAGGAAGATTGACAGAAAGAATAGAAATAGCAAGAGAGATACAATCCCTATAAGGGAAAAAAAAGAAATAATGGAATAATCGTTAGCTTTTTCATAAAAATCACAAAATTAGAAATCACAAGTAGCGGTGAGTGACGCCAGTCGTACAGAAGATAATCGTGATCCTCATCTGGCTTCATTCTATGAGCTTATGGCTGACCAGAGAAGGCGTCATTCAAAAGAAGAGTCAAGAAATATAAAATTTGCTATTTGACAGCTAATGAATTTAAAGGAAAAAATAAGCCTAAAAGGAGGGCAAAGAGAACCTTGCATCATTCTCAAAAAGAGCATCATGTGCAAAGTTTCTTTCCTCTGTTTTCCAATTAAAAAAATTGGGATTGAAATGAAAATAATGGAGGTTAGTAAGAGGGGGGTTTCCAGTAGAGTTTGTCTCAGCTGGAAGAGGGATAAGAAAGTAAAAAAAAACTAAAAAATAAAAAAAAAAGAAAAATTAGTGTTCTATACAAAGCGCAATTGCCAAATATTTGTTTCTAATTAATTACAAACAAAAAATTGCTAGATATATTCAAATATTATGCTCTTTCAACTATGGGTATCTGATAAACAATTTCCTTTCTTGGAGATTAACAAACAGATTTTTCGTTCTGCTTGCGTCCTATTGTACTATGAGCTTTCTCTCAGGTTTCTGATTATAAGGGTATCGATTAAGTCGAGAAATTTGGATTTGTGTAAGAGAAGTTAAGGAACGCTTCAGGATCTATGGAAGCCAGGAGATTCTTGTCATGTACCGGTGTGAGTTGAGCTTTCTCATTTGTGAAATCTTCATCGAAGTTTGAGGCATCTGCGGCAGATTTCTGAAAGCAAGGAGGAATCAGAGTAGGTTCGAAGTACTTCATGTGAAAGCTTTTATATGTGAAACGAATTCTTTTCACTTGACACGTGAATTAGCTATACACTCAAAGCGTGACAGTCTGTTGTATACACACAGATTTCAGGCTGTGTGAAGTTGTTTTGAATATTAAGTGAACACTTACAATAGTAGGCTTGAATGGAGGAGCAACTTGTCGTGATTCGAATCTTTTCCAATCTACACCTCGGAAGAAGGAATGTTGTCGAATGGGGCCGTCAGGACATTCAGGCATTCCAAGACGTGTGTTTGGATTTCGATCGAAAAGCTAAAAACACGATGCAAAATAATACAAAATGATACGAAATCTTACAGCTGATAAACATTTGGCGGCTTCTTTCGTGATTGTTTTCGGGAAATATGGTCTTTCGTTCAAAATTGAATCGAAAAGTTCTTCTTCTCCTTCACCATGGAATGGCGACTGACCAACAAGCATTTCATACATCTGAAAGGCGATATTCTTCATTTCCCAAATGAATACTATACTTACCAAGACTCCGAAAGACCAGAAATCTACAGCTTCATTATATAACTGTCCTTTGATGATCTGGAAAATAAAGAAGATGATTGCATTAAAAAAAATTTCAAATTACCTCAGGGCTAATGTAATCAGGTGTTCCGCAGAAGGTTGAAGCCATGCCATTTTCACGATTCATTTCTGTTTTTGCCATACCAAAATCAGCCAATTTAATATGTCCTTCAGCATCCAGAAGAATATTATCAAGTTTTAAATCTCTGAAAAGAATTATGATATTAAAACAAAAGAAATCAAGCAAAGCTCACCTGTATATTATATTATTGGAATGTAAGAATTGGAGAGCAACAATGATTTCACAAGCGTAGAATCGTGTCCTGTTCTCATCAAACTTTTTCACTTGTTGGATATGATGCATCAAATCACCACCATTTAAGTATTCCATAACAAAGAACAGATATTCCTTAAATTGATAACATAAGATGTTGTCATGTTGTTATTCAAAACGCACATTTGTTTGGAATGAGCAAAACAGCTGACAGAGGAATGGACATTGACTGGCTAAGATAAGAACTCGTCGCTCTATGTAAGTACATTCAGTATCATCGTCTTCCAGAATCACATCTTTCTTCAAGCATTTCATTGCATAAAATTCACTCTTTGATTTTAATTCAACGAGCATTACCTACAATACCAAGATCATTATCCACGTTCCCGAGGGTAACGTCAACTTACTTTTCCGAAACTTCCTTTACCCAACACTTTAAGTAAATTAAAATGCGATAAAGTAAACTTCTTGACAGGTCCATCTCCACCTGTCCACAAATCATTCATATACTCCTGATGTTCAGACTGATTCTCGACACTATACTGATGCTTGTTAAACAAGTTCTTGATCTTATTGGATATGAGTCCGTTCGGAGTTGTTGATCCTTTACTGTCTCCATTACCCAAATGAAGACCACTCAAGTTTGGTGGACAACTGAATATACCACTTTAAAACTGTTAAAAAATCAAATACATACCTGGAACTTGAATGGGCTCCTCGCTTTATCTCAAACAGTGCTTCAGACAACTGCTTCTGATTGACTCCACATAAATTAGAAATAAGCTTTTCACACTTATGATGACAAGCGACGTTACAAACTTGAAAGTAAATAAGGTAATTATATACTGAATAAGGTCAAATGAATACCTTCACATCTTAAGCCTTGCTTGAATAAACCATAAAGCATTGATCCACAATGATAACAGAAAGTTGGACTTTTGAAGTTATAAGTCTTAAATCGATGTGGCATATCAACTTTGAATCTCTCTTTTAGAGCCTGAAAGCCAGAAATTATGTTAATCACTCTTAATACCATCTTTTTCGTTGAGAAATTAATAAAAATATCTCGAAAATCTCTACAAAGTCATTTATTTGATTGTTAATCATTGGATTATCCTAACGGCCCGAGGCTACCAGAGAATGCTTTGATTCCGAAAGGCTTAATGATTTTCAGAGTTGGAAAAGCCATTCTTCGACAAACCACAAGCATTCCCTGCGTTTAAACAGAAGAAAAAGAAAACTCACAATAGTTTCTTTAGTGTTCTTAGCTGATCCTGTGCATTGCATAAGAATTTTTTCATGACATTTCTTATGAACAGCAGTTGTACATAATTGGCACTGATATCCCTGCTTGTTGAGGCCCCTTGAATACAAGATAAGATTTTGAGCTCTCTCTATCAATCGCATACCACATAAAGTCCGAGCATAATGAGCAAAAAGTGAATTGAGGAAAGAACTTTGCCACAAACTGATGACCACGTATCTCATGAACTTTTGCATGTTTGATAGCACCTGAATAATAAAGAATATGAAATGAAATACACCTTCTAATTTTCAAATATTCTAGTGTGCGGTTCAAATTGCTTTACCTCTTCGTCGATGTAGACCAGGACCAGAAGCTGCACGTCCCGTCATCGGTTCCTCAACTGGGTTGTCATCTTCATCTTAAATAAAAATATTATTCTTGTTTCTTGAAAGCCATAGAAGAAGCTGAAAAAAGTTTTAGAAAAGGCGTGAGAAAACAGCTTTTTAGCCAACAGCGAATTACTTTTTTTTAAGGACAAACTATTCTCCTAAGCCATGCACTTTTCACTTTTAAAATCTTGTTAAAGCATTTTTAATGGTCTCAAATTTATGCACATAAATTGAGTGTTTAGTGATAAATTGAAATGAAGAAAAAATTAAATTTCAAGCAGTCATAAATCGAAGTCGGACACTTCTTTGCTTCGTATGGCAAAGGAGGATTGGAAGAGTTGAGAAACGAAACAATGAAGACCAAGAAATGCTACAAAGGAAAAGCTGAAAGGAGAAAGACGTGAAAAAATCTTCGGAAGCATGTAGAGGTGAGAAGAGAGAGAGAAAGAGAGAGAGAGAGGAAGATGGAGGGAGAATCTAAGAGGAAAGAGAGAGAGAAATGAGAGATATGCGTTCAGAAAACAGAAATGATGACTGTTTGATGAAACGGCTAAATTTGCAACCAAAAAGCTTAAACATTTTCGGAAATAAATTGTCCGGACGCCTCCTTATATGGTTGATGTCCAAAAAGATTATGCACGATAAATGGTAAAAACCAACTCTTTTTGGAGAGGAAGAATGCAACACACACACATGCACACAAAAAACTTATTTGTGAATAGAGAGACTGAGAAGAAGAAGAGAAGACCTAAGAGAGAGAGAGGGAGAAGAGAGAGAGAAGAAAGAGAGAGACAAGAGAGAAAGAAAGGAAAGTAAAAGACAATTTTTAATTTTTGTTCAAAAAAAATTGTGGATGTTCAATGTGTAAAAACAAGCGAATGTTAAGCAAAATAAAGACAAAAAAGTACACCAAACAAGATAATTATGTGTAGATTAAAAGAAATTGAATGATAGATGGACTCACGTCGATTACTAAAGATTGAAGAACATAAATAGATAAAAGCCTTGCTAAGGGTGGTCGCTGAGCAGAAAAAAAAAGATTCAAACTTGACAACCACGAACGACAACGATGAAACGAGACGAGTTTCGAAAGGCTTGTGAATGCCAAAGCGAAAAAGCAAAAGGGAAAAAGAGGGGAGATCCTCTGCTTAAAAGATGAGCGCTGCCCCTGTGCCGTAGAAGTAGGGAGGATGAGCGGAACAAGTGCCTGCGGGCACGTTTTCCTCTTTCCTTTTGCAGCTAACAGCTTCCAACTCGGAAAAGAAATAAGGAGAAAACGAGAGATAAACGAGGCGAAAAAAATTGATAGAGAGAGAGAATGGAGGAAAGGAAAGAAGAGAAATGAAGCGCAAAAGCCGAGAGATGAGCTTGGGTCGCCGTCGTGAAGCATTCATCGTCAACTTCTTCGTCAGACAATCCTATTGCATTAATGGAAGACAGGATGGGACCTTGACGAACAGGACTATAATCATCAAAAGGATGAAAGTCAATGTTGTTGATGAAGAGCAAAAATCACAAACATTCACGTCACAATCCATCTAATGGTATTATAGGCTGAAGGAGGGCAAATGAATTTAAATGAGACCAAATAATATCATTCTTTTAACGCCAATGAAGTTACATTATATAGCGAATCAAAGAAGATGTGAGGAAAAAAAATATTGCTAGAGCAAAGCAATCCGGCTATAGGTCGCGTGGTTTCGCCTATATCATCTGAAGAACAGCGAAAAGCCATGACGAATATGTTTTTCACGACCCAATCTCAACCGTGTGAATTCAAATGAAATGAATGGAAAAGAATGAGAAAGAAGACAAAAATACAAAAATGAGACCATGTTATTGTCATTTTTTTATATAAAAGTTAGTTAATCGTATAATTAGTTTTCCCAGTACATTTGAAAAACAATGACGTCATATTAGAAGAAAAGAAAAAGGGTGAAGAAAAGAGAATCTTACCTGACTTATTACTACGGCTAATACCAGACATGCTTTATAAGGAGATGCTATTCTAAGTAAAATATAGAATGAGATGAAAAATAAATTCTTCAAGATTCATCATTTCCATAAGGAGTAACAAGAAAGAAAACAAAAAGATGCGAACTTCTAAGAACAAGTAGAAGACGGAGAAGAAGAAGATGGAACAACGATGAGAGGTTGGCAGAAATACAGAAAACGATTGAGATGAAGCTAAGTTTCTATTGTTATAGTAAATAAATGAATAAAAATATATAACTTCTTATACTAATGGAATATGGAGAAGTATGTTCAAAGGAAAAATATGTAAACGATGATGAAAGATGAAAACGGTGATCGACTAGTTGTTAAATGAAACGAACAAGCTTTCAGTAAAAACGATAATCATATGTTCTAGGATAAGGAAAAGCTTGGAAAGTTTCATTTGTGTAGAGAAAATGGTAAAAGAGAATATGAAGACATCAAGTTTTCATCTGCGCTTCGCATCGTAGGTGGATGAAGATGTCATAAAACAACTTCAATGAGCAAAAACAGGAAAGCTTCTCCTTATACGCAATTTGATAAAAGAAATGAATATCTTCTTCTTCATCTTCTTATAAAGTATAATAAAAAGGGACAATTCTTATGGCAAATAGTAAAACGTGATGGAAACAAGAAGTTAATGACGAAAATAACATTGGATATGTTGATAAGGAGCCAAAAATCTTGTTTTAAAGGTGAAAGAGACAAATTGATGAGTTAAGTGGAGAAGAGAGGGGTGTGAGAGGGGGGGGGGAAAGAATGAAAACATCTTTCTTTCTGAATAGAAAAATAGGAATATCTTCATAAACTGTAAGTTTGTAAGAAATGAGGCTGATAGATTCGTGTAAAACAAATATTTGAAACGATTCTTAATTATATGATATAATCAGCAAACATTCTAATTCTATGAGAAGATTGATAAAATTCCATTTTCTATTCATTCAATTTCAAATAGATCAAAGCATCAAAATTTTTGTGTCAAATATGTCAATAAAAATGAAGCTTATTCATAATTCTCTATTTCTATATATGTAGAAGCAAATCATCAATGATTATTTCTTCAAAATTTCTTATTCAATTTATAAGAAATATGTATATATACATATAAATAAGATACAGCTTTGTATGCAGGTTATGACGAATAGAAACGATACTCACCAAGCTTTTCGTGGTGTAAAGAATTTATGGCTTTTCAATACTAAGAAGCTGTGTCGTCGATCAAGACAATTGGAAGACGAAAAAAAGCATTTTGTAGTCTTTTTTTCATGAAACTTCTTCCTTTTCAGTTGTGAATAAAGACGCTAACAAACAGTTAGCTAAATGATATTTTTTCTCCAAAAAAAAAAAGAATAAAAGAGAAAAAAAAAGAAAAACGACTGATGAACAACATCTCGAAGTCATTTAGATCGTAAAACAAATGATGGCTAACATGAGAAAAACCAAGAGGCTCTAATGAAATAAAAAAGCTTTCGGAAGAAATCAAAAGAAGGGGTTAAACCTCTGAAAAGACACAAAAATTTCAAATGTACATGTGGAAATGACTATAGAAGCTGACATCTTTCAGATGGTCTTAAATGATTTAGATGAAACAAATCAAAATGAACAGGAACGAGAAAGGGAATGTTGAAATAATATCAGAAAGAAAATGAGAGAGAGAGAGAAAAGGGGGAAGAAGGTATGAACGAGTGGGAGGGAATAACTAAAGAGAGGGAAAGATGTGATCAAATTGTAAACTTTTGAGTGAACAAGAAAAACCTTTGATGATTCAAGATAGGAAAAGCTTGCCCGCCCCGCTTTCTCCGTTTCAACACAACACATATCGTGTGTAAGAACGTTCATGCAAGATATTCAAATATCTTCTATTAACAATTGAAAAGAATGAGCGGAAGAAATGAATCGCCGACAACTGATTATCTTCTCTCATCATCAGAGTCATTATCTATTGTATGACATCATGACGATTGTTCAATTCCATTTCAAGTTTTTAAAAACTTTCTATTAATTATTCAATCATAATTGATTCCTTATAACTAACTAACTAACTACCTATCTAGCAACCAATCAATAGTTATTATCTAATTTCCAAAAGAACATTAACTTCAATGGAAGCCAAACAAGGAAAGATTGTGATCGATCAACTCGTCAATAATCAAATGATCGACGTAGATAATTCAAAGAAATTCAATGTAAATCAAGAAAAACTAGATCATTTCAAGGAAACTGAGGTAAAAGTTAAAGAGAGAATAGTGTTGATCAAAACTTCTTAAATATCAAAAGCTGTTTTCTTACGTATAAAAACGAAAAGAGAAAAAAAGACAAAAAATTGAATACCTGCTTGTTTGAGATGTCGAGTTTGTGCCAGAATTCTTCCTTGGGGTTTCGTATTGATCCATATATGGGTGATGGCATCTCCTTTACATTTACTGATAATATCCTATAAATAAATTATATTAAGTAAATATAGAAAAAACCATCATTTGTTCAAGTATTTCCCTTCTCTTTTATTTCAGACGGGAACAACCGATCTTCATGAGAAAACATCAAAAATGAAACTTCAATGTCATTTGACGTGATACGTGAACTTTCACTTCACACGTGGACATGTCGTTGATGTAGATGAATTAGCAAACAGCTTACCTCTAGTCTCATTGTCGCTTCAACTACAGCCGTTTGTTGATGCATCAGAATTATTTGAAGAATTCTTCCTTCAGTAACTGCAGTATCCCAACATTTTTCCCATTCCGGATAAAACGTTTTCTTTTTCTGAACTAAGCGGGATTCTCCTATAACAGTTGCATGTAATCGAAGGCAAAGATGAAACTACAACTAATGAAGGTTCAAAAACTGAACTACAAATACAAAAAGACCACAAATATTACCATTTACTTCAACTTTTTCTTTGACATTCACTGCCGGCACAAGATCTGTTAGTGAACAGCCCGATGGAAGCTGATCGACTGCGATGTCCGCTCGTAAAAGCTTTAGCCTGAAAATGAATTTTGTTAGAAGTAGCAAAGTCATAACATAGATGATAAAGAGTCTTATATAGCCTTCGAACGTTTAGGAGTTGTTTTTGTAAACCATTTTATCTTTACTTTCAAAGAAGTTTATGAAAATAAAATGCCTCACCTGCACGCACTTTCCGTGCGAGACATCGTGTATTGAGGGTCAAGGGCCAGCTCACTGGGCGGCAGGTCCGTGACAGGATAGATATCAACAACCTTAAATAATTAAAAATTAATTTAAAAAATGCAAAAAGAAAAATGTTTTTTTCAGTGAAATTTTTCATGACAACTTATACGAATTGCTACATGAGGTCATGTGTAAGAGAACGATTAGATGAATAATAATAATTAGAGAATAGAACTATATATAGATAAGAGCATTGTGTTTGAATGAAAGCCAATGGTTAGACAGCTGATGGAACCCTCATGAGATTTCCTCATTTGGAAGTCCCCATATATGGTTTCATCTTTTAAAAAATACCAAAAACGCACATTTACAATCAGAAATTTGATGAAAAATAAGATGATTGTGTACCTAGTGAAAGCCAGATTACGACAGGGAAAGTATTAAGATCAATCTCTCTATTTCTCTGTCTCTCTCTCCCTGACACTCGTTCAGTCTTCTATTCTTCTCTCTCTCTAACACTTTCTTACCTCTCAGCTGATCAGATTGATTAGTGTGGGTGTTGTCTGACCTCAGTGACAATAAATTTTCCTCAAATTTCTTTTGAAGAGAATGAAGAATAGAAGGAAGTTAATCAAAAAACAAAACAATGAATCAACCGGTGTGTGCGTTGTGTTCGAAACAAATTCCACGTAAATTTTGTTTTACGTGGGAGGTGGAGTAAGGAAAAAAAAGAAGAAAAGGAGACATTCATCTTATCACAAAGTAGTAAAGTGAAATATACAAGTCTAGAGGAAGAAGCAATCGAAAATTAAAAGAAAAAGCTCAGGAAATACATTAGCAGCAACTTTATTTGAAAATCGTTTAATGAACTTTCAATAATCGAATCCAAAAAGCATTTTTATAAATTCCCTTTTTTGGTTGCAACAATAAATGGAGAGTGGGGGAGGGGATCCATCATCAAAATTATTTTAAAAAGGGGCAAATGTTATGAAAACCTGTTCTTCTAAGTTGATTACCTCTTAGATATAAGAAAATGTTACTATATGGGTCATGTGCAGTACCAGTATGAACTTATCAATGAGCTTACAATTGGTTTTTTCGTTTTGTTTAACCGAAGTATAGAACTTCCCTATTTCCAAATAGAGATTGAACTGTTTTCAGTGTTCCCCATCTCTCCTGCCTCAACATAAGTAAATAAAAAGATTGCAGAAAAGAAAAAAAGGAAAAGAAAGTCAAAAACGGCAGGAACAGCTCAGTATTGAATCCACAAGCATCCAAAAAAGACATTTGATGATTCGGAAAATGGTTTGCCAGGGCCAGTCTTTACTTTGGGTCACAGTTATATTAAGTGAGAGAAGAGATGATGATACAAGCCTTTTGGACAAAGTAATGAAAAAAGAAGAGAAAAAGAGAGAGAGATAGAAAGAGAGAAGTAGAGAGAGAGACAGAAAGAGAAAGAGAGAGATAGATCTAGCTAACCAATTGCTTTTTATCATTTGTTTACAACAAAAAAAAACGTTAAAAACCAAATTAGAAAAAAAAATAGCATAAAGAGAAGGAAGAAGATAAAGTATAAATTAGTTCAACGATGTAATGGTTCGAATGTATTATTCGTTTATCGACGATGAGTTGAGAAATCAGATGCCGATCGATGCGTACAGCCATCACGATAGACGGAAAAGCAATTTCGTCGTTCGGACCCGACGGTGCGTGCGTGTTTGCACAGGTCTCTTCTCCTCACCATGACTGGGAAGAAATAAGAGAGAAAAAGAAAATATAGAGAAATGAATAAGATATATATGAAGAGTATGAGAGAGCAAACGAGAGAAACACAACAAGAAATATGAAAAGAAAGAGAGTGGGATAGAAAAAAAGAAATTTCTAAGTCTTAAGATGGCTGAACTGCGTACAAACTTCTGAGCGAAAAAAAAATGCACCGACATCCTTCTAATTCAGCGAGGAAAACCAAGTTTATCACTTGCAGGGAAGCGTCCAAATCAACTTATAATTGATGATTTTGCGTACAAAATGCGCAAATATTCGCTGAATGACATCTAACTGTCGTTCTGTTCAATTCATTTGAAACATTTCGTTTTTCATTCTTTTTAAATAAAAAAAAATTAAAAAATCATTAAAGATCTAACGAACAAATGGTCGTCTTAACATGAAATTATCTTTGAATACACTAAGAATTAAATAAAAATGTGCTTACACTGACATTAGAAAGAATTGAAAACATAAGAAATGAGCCATAGAATGAATTTGTTACTGATGCAAAATAAAGAAAGAAGGATAAAGAGAGAGAGAGAGATAGAGAGAGAAAGACAAAGTTGAAGACGAAGATGAAGGGAAGGGGGGGGGGAGAACGAAATAGAAATCTTCTTTCTTCAGCTATCATCTAATCTTTGCTTTAAATTACTCCACAACTTCTTAAATTATAACTTAAAGTCAATTCATTGTTTCAGACAGACAAACACAATTGAAAGAAGAAAAGACTTCCTTCAACATTTGCAGTAAAAAATTGTTAAAAGAGATTCTTTAAGTAACAGCTTTCAACTTCTTTTTGATGAGAAAGGCCAACTGATGGATTTCTCAGCTCAATATCTCAGATTTCAGAAATGGACAGAAGGAAATGACGTAAAATCCATGTAAAAATGAATAGAGAAGAGTCTCTCCTTCTCTTTTTTCTCTCTCTCTATCTCTCTCTCTTTCTCTCTCAATCATCAGTTGTTGATATATAGAAAACATCAAATTAAGGCAATACTGATGACAATTGCCTACTTTTCATCAAAATAATAATTCATGCATCTCGGCGCTCTTTTAAACTAATTTGAAGAGAAAAAACATCAATTACAATGAGAAAACAGCCGAAAACTAAAAAGATTCTCTCTCTCTATCTCTCTCTCTTTCTTATTTTCTCTCTTTCTGTATGTGATTACAAACGTTACATTCTATCCATACCATATTTGGATTAAGTATGCAAATGAGAATTCACGTGAACAACGATGCTAACCAAATTAGATGTGTACGACTCATTTTCATGTTAAAACACGTGACAGCTCCGGTTGCATTCAAAAGTCTCAGCTTTAACATGTTTATTGAGAAATTATAAAAACACTTTGGTATATACATAACACTTTCTCTCTAGATATACGTATATAAAAGAAAACAGTAAAGAAAAATGTCAAATTGGCGCCAAATATTGAAAGAAATAAAAGAAAAAAAATAATTTGTTTGATGATACGTGAGTGTGTGGATGAAATTTCTTATCTAATCATCGATTTTTCCAATTATTTTCATGAATAATTTCAATTTCTTCTATCTAACGAATGCGAGGGAGAGAGAGAGGGTGAGCGAGTGATGAGAAGAAAAAAAAATTTTTAAACGTAAGAAGTATTAATAAATTGTTTTTAATGTCATTAATACATCAATCATTTTGTGATGAAAAGCCCTTAATAACCAGAAATTATGTGAGTTCGATCGCACATGTACTCACATTGCTTGCTAATGATGCTCATCTACTAAGCTGCTCATGATGATGTTCATGTTCATAAAGATGATCATGATGACGATGATGACAACATCAAAAATGAAAATGCTTTCTTTCTTTCTTTTTTTTTAAATTTAGTTGAACTTCAATGAAATAGCAAAAGCATAATGACGGAGGACATTGCAAGGTTGGTTGAAAGAACTAAGAAGGAGAATTCTTTTGGAAAATAGAAGTTACAGCCTGGAGAAGTGAATTAGATGAAAAGAGACAGAGAGAGAGGCTGATGGGAGGTGGAGAGAGTGGGAGAGAGGAAAATGACCTAATACCTAATGTCTCTTTGAATCTTTCTATTTCTGAATGTTCATATCTGGAACAGATCAGATTTGCGATCTGTTGAAAGCTTTGAGAAAGACAATTCGTTGATCAAAGACGAATTAGTTTTCAACCTGAGAAGCTTGAGATCTTTGTAGTTTACAAATAAGAAATGTTTGGCAAAGATTTTATGGATGACGAAGTGAAGCAGAAAGAGTATGAAAATTCGAAATGCGGTAAAGTTGAAATAAGGCTTTTATGACTCGAAATGCGCAAAGCGGTCAAGATGAGGTGAATAAATGGAGGAATGTAAGCATGTGTTGAAGTATAAATTTGAGGCACATTTGCAGCTTCAAAGCAATGATATTACTTTATTGCCTGGACCGGAGGCATTTTCACCATCACGAAGCCTAGTGAGATGTGAGACGTAGACGAGGATGAACAATGAGTGGAATAGATGTGAGCCGAAGAGCCAAGTTCTGACCGAAAAATAACGAAAACTTGAAAATTCCAACAACGACAAGAACGTTACTTGAGATGATACTCATATAGTTCTTCTAATAGTATGAAAGGAAAACAAAGAGAGGTCCAAGTTTCGTGTCAAGCCTCTTCGGAAGATATGATAGCATATGAGAGGAACTCAGAAATGCTACACGCAATAGACCGCTAATTATGAGAAAGCTCATAGATGCATATATGTTCAAAAGCTGATTCTCGAAATTGCACGTTAAACGTCAAAGATTTTTGAAAGTTCATTTTGTTCAGCCAGATGTGTTCAAGCCTATGTGATGCTTGAATGAAAATAGAAAATGCACGTGCCCGACACGTGTTTCCATCGTCGATTAGAGTGAATGAGGAGAATTTAAACAAAACAATTTAAGCTTGTAAGTCTAAATAAGATATTACGTAGTAAAGGGACTGTATAGAAATTGGTTCAATCTCTTCTTCAACTTTCGTCTATTTTTAGTCTCAACTGCCTACGCCAATTACTAATTTTAGAACGAATAATTTAAATTGAGTCTGGGTTAAGGAGGAAGAAAAGAAAAGAAGTGAAAACAAATAAGACACAACCGCTTAGAGTGTCCACGTGGGTGAAAATAAAATAGAAACCACTTCACGTGAATTTAGGTTTACGTGAAACTTTCACATATTTTCAAAAACTCAATCAATACTTGAAATATGCTAATTATATGCTAAAGACATCGACTAAAAGGCTGAATCAACAAAATAAAATTAAGCGACGAACATTTTGTAGAAAAAAAGGAAAAAGAAAGAAGTAAAAGTGTCTAGTTTGATAAAAAAAAATTAGAGCTTTTATGTAAATTAGTTGAGAGTGAATGTGAATGAAGCTACTTCTATGACCTTCCTCGTCATTAAATGAATTCAAAAAGCCCGATAGAATGTATGAAATATTAAGAAGAGAAGACATTACATATGATGGAAAGATTTCTTACAAATATTTATCCAAAAATGAGCAAACTCACAAAAGGATCTCATACTAGTCATTAGAATTGGTTTATAAACAGGGAAGCCTAAGGCAATAATTAGTGAAACGTTTGAAATGTGAGAAAATTTGTGTTTTTAAAAGATCACAAAACGATTATTGAATTGAGAATGTTTAAAAATGAATGGATCATTGGGATGAACATGAAAAAGCTGTTGATTCATTTGACCAACGGAAAGATTAACATCTGGAAGTCTCAATGAGAATACGAAGGACGAGAAGGAGATGAAGAAGCTGAAGAAGAGAAGACAAGGACGATAACGACAATGATGGCAAAAGAGAAAACGAAGATCCAATAGCTTGGAGTATGCTTTTCCTCTTCTCGCTGACTCTCTTTTCCGTCGTTGGCTCCATCTAATTGGAACCTAAAGACTGAGCTAAAAGAGCTCCAAATGTAAAAAGAATTGTGTCAAGACTAGATGTCGTTAACTTTCGAATGCGGAGATGTTTGTAGCATTTGGCATGAAGCCAGGCATTCCAAACATTGAACTTTCAAACAATAATAGAGTGAGGCTTGTGAACGTTCTCAAATGGACAGAAATAGAGAGAAGCTTGAAGAAATAGAGCTCATAGGTAGGAAAATGGAAGAAAAACAGTCAACATGAGATGGGAGGAACGGCTGAGAGTTACCTTTCTCACATTTCTGATCGAAAAGAGTATATTCTACACAAAAATCAACAAATACTTCTTATGAGGAAAGATGAAAAACGGAACGAATCATTGAATATACATGAAATCTTAAAGATTCAGTAATCATCTTTACTTCAACGATCACGGAAGAAATGGAAAATGTTTCTGCAAAACAACAAATTTGAAGAAAAAAAATGTGAATTCGCCCTTTCAGCTCTCTCTCCACCTGATCTCTTTTAATCTGGCATGGAATCCTTTCTAGTTCATGGAAATGATTAAACGAAATTTTCAGAATTCATAGAGCAAAAATACAATCTGTTGCGAACAAATAAATAACTGAGGAGGGAAACAGCTTAGTTAAGAAAACATGTAAATGAGAAAGGGAGAGCAAAAAAAGACGGAAGCACAAGTAAATACCGCGAAATTTACTTAATTAATTCCAAAAACAAAAAGTTGAAAGGATTAATGAAAATTTAGGAGAAGAAAAAAAATGTTAGCAAATGATTAGTGAAGTGCACAAAACAACTGCCGTCGCTGAATGTGAGATGAAATCTCGCACGAATTTCAAACACACACAGCTGCTTCCTACAGGGCCGTCGCATTAATGTGAAGTCAACCATGGAATAGGTTAAATGGAAATAGTAATAATAGGAGTAATTACTTTTCAATAGGTTTCAAGTAGTTGAATGTGTATAGTTTGTGTAAAGATAACGTACATTGTTAGGAGATAATATTATTCTGTTAGTTGGTAGACAAAGAGTAGCAAGAAGAAATAGAAAAGAAGAAACAGAAAGTAAGAAAGTGGATGAATGATCGGTTACAGAACTGTTTCCATACTCAACAATCGAGGAATATAAAAGATAAAGAAAAAAAGAGAGAGTAAGTAAGGCATATAGATGAAAACAGAGAGAGGGTGGATAGAGGGAAAGGGAGAGATAGAAAAGAGAAAAAATGTCATCGTCATCAACAGAGCGACGACATCGTCATTTTGAACATCGTCGTTATTCAGATAAGTATTAAAAGTCGATAATCTATAGGACTAAATAGTTAATATTGAAAAACAAATGATACCAACACATATCGAACGAACTTTTGTTAATTACGCAAAGAGATTGTGAGAAATAGAAGACAGAAAGAGAGAGAAAGAGCGAGACATAGAAAGAGAGAGAGAGAGAGAGGGAGACTCAAATGTAGTTTGAACAAGATAATCGACAATTCAATGATTCATTTGGTAAAAATTAAAATATGAAAGTTCATTAAGGAATAAACCTAATAGAAAACAAGAGAAAGATTGGGTAAAGCACAATGATTTCGAAAGAAAAATAGAATTATTTGATTGAAAACTAAATTGAATTTCAGATAATTTATAATGAAAGGACAAGAAGAGACGCGTGATAGGCTATTCAATTCTCTTTTTCAAAAAAAAATAATAATAAGCACATCTTACTCAGAATGAGATAATATGACAAAAGACAAAAATAAGAGACTATAACAGAGAGAATATGAAAATGAAGGAGAGAGAAGGTAATCCAACCGCTCACTGCGTTGAAAACTCAAAATTAATGAGAGTGTGTGCGAGAGTAACACAATGAATGCCACGTGAACGTAGACGTGAAGTTCATGTATTCAAATACCAACATCTTTTGATATTTACAAATGATCACGCATCTATATATAGTATATATAGATGATTATACCAATTAGAAGAGTCAGTGTTATTCATCTTGAAATGATACAGTTTCACATTCTTAGAGTATGTACAGATGAAACGTGTTCACTTAACTATGAAGACATTGACTATATCTATATAATATAGATAAACATAGCTAACTAAATGACCCGTGAAGCTATCTTGTTCATCATTGGTCAATGAATTCCAAAGTGCGTATTGGAATAATAATTTGAAGACGCAAAAAGCTTAAGTTGACATACAACATAATAGAAATTGAGTTGTAAAGCTTTTAAGGAGGTGAAATTAACTCAAAACGAGCAAATGACTCGAACAAAGTTGAGATTGCGAAAAAATAATTTGATGAGGAAGGTGTAAAATAATATAAAATTAGATTTCAGTTGGAAAAAAAGAAAAAGGTTCGGTTGGGAGACGATATCACCCTCCTTCTCTCTCATGTTCTATCGCAGTTGTCTTTTCGTTTTCTCTTCTAAGCTAATGAGTAGAATTCGTGAGAAGTAAAGTTAAAACAAAAAAAAAGAAAGAAATCGTATGAATATTGCTCGTTGAAAGTGAACGTGAGGAAGAGAAAAAAGGTGATAGAAGATATTTCATTATCACAGGCAGTTGATAAGAAACATTTCATGAGAAGCTTATGCAGACACGTTTTCCAAGAGATTTATAGAAATCTATTTTGCAAACGACAAACCTGAGTTGAATAGTAAATACACATTGATTGATCGCAAACTTCTAATAAGCCAGCCCCGACAACCGAACCAGAGCCGGTTGCTCGAGGCAGGCGTACCATAATAGACGATATGCTCGCGATTTTCGGTTGCTTTGTAGTAATAACAGACAAAAAACAGTGGAAGGGTATCTAGATGAGGAATGATGGGAGAACTTATTCCAACATGTTCACCGTCAGAACAACTAAAATTGAAACAGAATTTCGGAGAATTCGAGGATTGAACTGCCTGAGCAACTTGTTGTCACCCTGTGTATGTAGGCATGTATCTGTCTCTCTAAAGCTTTTTCGTTCCCCGCCCCTCTCATATCGTTTTGTGTTTCTTGTTCTCCTTTCTCCTTCTATGTCTCTTTTACTCCGTTTTACCCTCTCTATCTTTGTAGTTTGCAACGAATGTGCTCAATCGAGATAGACTGAAAAAACTAGGAAAAGATTGACATAGAAAGCTGTGAGATATTGAGGGAAATAGCGAGAGAAGGAGCATGAAGCCTAAGAGTAAGGCTGCTTCTCGGTTTAGCGGTTCTCCAGATGCACTGGACCAGTAGCTAATTGGCCCCGCCGGGCATCGCACCCTCTGTGTGTCCCCTGGGGCGACTCACCGAAGACAATGGTGAGGAATAGATGAGAGAAACTTGAAAAAAACCTAAGTCCAAATATATGAGACTGTTTCATATTTTGAGAGAAAAAGAGACAGAGAATTTACGAAAAGCTTCTTTTCTGTTTTTTGGGCAAGACTTGTAAAGTATTATTTCAAACAATTCTATACGGATGAATAAAAATGGAGAAGTAAAGGAGCCAGTCAGCCGTCAGCTAACTTAACCCTCGCATCCTAATCTTGGATTTCCCTGATTTTTGAACGAAAAAGGAGATAAAAAAGAAATGGCAGCGAAAACGAAGAAAAGATTTGGCAAGACACGTGTCTGGAAACATTTCCCTACGGGATTTCTTGTTGTTCTATGTCATAGTCCTTTGTCTCATAATCTTAAACTTAAGAAATCTCCAAATTTTTTCTTTTTTTCATGCTCAATCACAGAAAAAAAAGAAAAAAATGTAAAAAAGGAAAAAGCTAACAGCTAGCTTTGATAATTCGAAATTCAAAAACGAATTATCAAAATCATAAATTAAAGATTATCATTATTAATTCGGTATTATTAGTTTCATTAATACTCATTTGCAATGACAATTCTAACCTTATTCAAAGACTTGTTATAATTTGAATAACATTTGAACAAAATCCAAATATAGAATTGAAGAGAGAGAGAGAGAGAGAGTGAGAGTGAGAGAGAGAGAAATACTTGAACTGTTCAAGCAAATTGTCAACTAGTTTCATTCTTTACATGAGATTTCAATAAATGTCTCTGATCTTCGAGATGTTGAAATCCAAAAAGTTTTCAACTTTGCTTCATCTAATGGTGGGAGAAACATCTTCCAATAAGAAATAACAAAAGCTGTGAGGAAGAAGAAAGAGAAATCAGAAATAGATAGATGATTCTACTTAGAAGAAGACAATAATTGTATGTACAACAAATGGAACAATGAAAGAAGGATTGCTAGAGGAACCTGAGAAAGATTGTAAGAGGAATAGAAACTTACATCCCGCACTAGAGAGAAGGGAAAAAAAGAAGTGAAAGAAGGAGGGACTCTAAAAAGAAATAAAGAGAGAGTAATAGGCTGGAACAGGAATCTGACGCCCTGTATTTATGGTATTTTCAATTGCTGGAGGCTAGTAAAGGTCGGCAAGCAGAGAAACATCCTTCAAGCTTTGAATGAAAGATAACTGTTGCATTTCTATTTATAAATAGTTTCAATAATAACGAGCAACTTTGTGATAGCAAATCAACACGATGGTTTTGAAGAGTATAGATAGAGAGAGAACGAAAGAAAGATGAAGAGCGAGAAAGAGATGGAAGAGTGAAGTAACAAGGAAAGTCCAAGGATATTTGCTGACTACTTCAGACAGTCTACTACACTACACATATACATTCATATTTTAAATATGATAACCAGTTATTTTTCTAATTTTCAAATAAGTCGTCACATGCATTTAACAAAAAAATTCCAGAATATTTTGTATTTCCTTCCATTCTGCACATTACTCAAAAGAACAAAAGTACTCAGTGATGGAGACAGACAGAAGGAAATATTTGAAAACAAAATATTTTTTGTCAATTTTTCGCTAACAAAAAAAATCATAAACTAAGGCTCACCTCATCATTTGGGACCGGCTGTTGTCGATTACGTTTAACGCCAAAAACGCGAAGAGATAGAGCGATTGAACGAAACTTCATGAGAACAGTCAACTGAGACTGACGATGCTTTCTCCCATGCTCATTCTTTTTAATTCGTTTACCAAATCAAAGATGTGTCTGAAATTAAATAAGAAATTATGAAAAAGGAGCAGACCAGACCATAGATTCGACAAAAATCAAAACGAAAAAAGAAATTTTCACGTATAAGTCTACGTGTCTCAGCAAGATTCTAATTTCATTTGCAACATAAAGAACGCGAAAAGCGGTTGAAGTTCAATTTAGGTAATTTCAGTTTTTCTTTTTTTTTTGTCCCAAAAAAACGACTGAACAATACTTTTTTTTCTTTATCAAATAAGGAAATATTGTCGAATAACAGGGCGAAGATTCTGAATCTTATGCGAAATATAATAATATACAAATAATAAATGCAAAAAACTCAATTTTCTAAACAAAAAAAAACTTGAAAAATATAGTTTTCAGATGAAAACGTCAAATACGTGGTCTCAAATTGCTGGACAAATATCCAAAATGTATAAGGAGCAACATCATCTCATATGAAACTAAAAACCGAAATGTTTGATGAAAAAAAGGTAATTTCAAAGGTCTTCCCTTATTTCATCTAATCAATATGATTAAGGTGAGAGAGAGGATGAGGTAGGATGGAGACAACAAGGAAGAAACTATAAATTGTCAAAATACAAATACATATATGTTGATACTGGTATTGGTATTGAACCAAATAAATGAAAAAATAGTTTTCATCCTGTTTGTTATGTATTGGATGACTTTCATAATTAACTAAATCTGTCATATAAAGCTAATTACTTTGAGCTTGAATAGCTACTTTCGCACTCATGCAACTCATTTACTTTCCTTATTTATCTCCTTTCTCTCCATCTTTTTCTCTTTCTCTCTCTCTATCATCCTCTCATTCTCACACATTCTCTGTGAATCTTTTCTTTTTCTACTCTTCGTCTAATCTCTTTCTCACAGTCATACGTTCAATAATTATTAAATTTTCAGAATAAAAATTAGAATAAGGAAATAAATTTGAAAGAGAAAAAGATACAAAAAATCATTTTAAAACGACAACATTAAATAATTACTATTTGAGACATTGATCACATGGAAGTTCGAGAGATGAAAACTCTACCAATTCAACTTTTAAATGCTTTTTCAACGTGGAAAAAAAAAGAAGAAGCCGCCCTCTCAATTTATTTTTCAAAAATTCCTCTTCAAACTGATTTGATTTTATAAATTGAAAGTGGACTTCCGATTAATTAATTCGGGTTTCGTGAGATAAAAAGCAGAAAAAAACCATCAAATAGAGGGATTAGTAATTGCTCTAGAAGAAGGTCAAAACTAATAACTTTGAAAGAAGTGGTTAAATGATCATTTACATCTTTCAAGGTGGGAAATATAAAGAGAAAAAAGGAGCTAGACAAAGAAGTAGATGAGAGAGAAAGAGAGAGAGAGATGAGTATAAAAATTAAAAAACACAACCGATGCTTGCGAATGGATGTTTCAGAAATGAAATTCACACGTTTTTCACGTGAAACTTCATATTCGAAATAATTTAAAGAGGAAGTTATCGATTAATATTATAATTTGAATAAATACGTTTTTCCTTTATATGAAAAGAAAAATTAATAAACATAATCATGATAAGCCGGATATGAAGCCTGAGAGACATACTACAGACACACAAACTATGACGATGGAATGGTTAAAGCTTCAAGGATTATCCGGATAAAACTCTAACAAATACTTGATTCTTTCATTTTTTCAGAATGAAAAAAAGTGTGATAAATCCATTAGACCGTTTATGATGAAAATTGGGATAATTCACAGAATAACTTTACTTACATTCTCTCTAATTTCTAATCTATTCAAATCTCTTGACAAAAGAAATTTATCTTTATTCATATGTATTTCAAGAGCATTTTAACGTACAAATATCAAAAATCAAAATCAAAGTATAACCTATGGGAATGCCTAGCAAAGAAGGACATCCCGTCACTTATGACGATATTCGGTTAAGTTTTTTTTATTCGAAATATCAACGAAGTAAGAAAATTCTGCAAAGTTCAAAAATGACTTTCCCACATTTCCTAGAAATTATGGGAAAATGAATGCTTCAATTAAGGAAATGAGGGAAAGACGTAGAAGCCTGCTTTGATAATGCGAAAAACCAAAAAAAAAATGTTGCGAATGTTAAATCAAAACAAGAGCATCAAGATGAAGGAGGAATAGAGAGTAGATGTGTCTTTTTCTATTTCCCATCTCAAATAAGTATCAAAGATTCATAAGTAACAGTTTTTCTGAAAGAGCTGATGAAAATGGCGCAGCTGAAGAGAGCAAAGTTTAGATGAAATGAAAGATAATTACATATCTGTATGGAGTACTTTTGAAAGTTGTAATGTATGCTTTAGCCATCTTTCATTTAACCTATGTAGTATTTGATATAAATTATTGAATATTAGAAGACGAGATTATAGTGTGATACTAGAGAGGGAAGAGGGTAATAGAGGGAGTGAAAAGAGACCGGAAGATGATGGGGTGTGAGAAGGATGATGGGAGCTAGTTGAGACAAGAGAAGTACCTTAATCACTTGCTCATCTCCCACCCTCAATCCCATCGTAGGAAATGCTAATGAAATGAACGAGAGAAACTTGGGAGGGATAGAGTGATCAGGAATAAAAGAGAATAAGTTGCGATTTAATGTGTTCCTCGGCAAAATGAGTAAGAAGAAGGACAATCTGACGAGATAAATTCGAAAGTAAATGTGCTGCCTGACTCTAGAAGTTCATTCTGAATCAATTCTTTTCTATGTTCTTAATTTCAATTGAAAGAAGTGAAAATGTCAATCGACTTAGAGCAAAACTCGCTGAAGATAAACGGCATTGATAAGATGGACCATTATGTCCAAATTTTTCTAATTTCATGTGTGAAGAGGGCAAACGTTTAATTATAGAAATTGACATTTCACTCTCCCATCATTAACACTTTACTGAGAGAGTTTTCATGCAAGATAGAATAAAATAAAGAAATATTCAAAGATTTAACGTTTTTTTGTCATGCATCCTCTATATACTCTCATTAACAAGCCATACTAATGGCATCGAAATGATTTAATGACAGTCCGTATGCCATTGGTGAAGAATAAAAAAAATGAGAATATAATGAAAGAAGAAACAAATAGGGAATAGCAGCTTTATAACTGAGCATGAATTACCATTAAAAGAATAGCTAACCCTGTCCTCCCTCTCACAAACCTATTTGACTGTTCAACATAAACAAGGAGCAAGCTATCTCCTATTATGTAACGACTAAACCTTTATATAAACAGGACTGACTGAACGATAAATTAAACGCAAATGAACATTAGAAGTAGAACACAGCATCTAAGGTGAGCACTAATACAGTCGTTAACATTCTAGACTCCGTCTTCTGAGCGGAGGAAAAATAATGAGAAAGGGGATAATTCATAAGTAAATGAGATATCGTGAACATTATTAAAAGTAATACTTGTAACATAACATGACAAGTTCCGACACGTTCTTGAAAGTTCTTGAAGAGTGAACTTTCAATGTATTTTGAACTATGGAGTTTGGAAACCATATGTATTTTAATAAAATAGTTGTATCCGATAGAGTAGATGAAGGAGAGAGACAGAAGAGATGGAGAGATACAAATGATATGAAACGAGAAAAAGGAAAAATACATGTAAAAAGAGAGCTTTAAAACTTCAGGCTATGGAAGAAGTCGGGAATGTTGGATGAATTCTATCCTAGAGCTTGCAGGATTATCAAATAATATTCGCATTGCCCGCAGGGCAAATATGTATAATCCAGGAGGATTCTTATCCTTGCACAAGGCAGCCTTAGGCTAAATTTCTTCTACTGAAAGCTGAGTTGCCCAGTATGGCAGTGTGTATTCTGCTGTTTTTTGTTCTGATCATTGCTGAATTTCGCAGCAATATATACACAAAGAAAGAGAATCATCCGATATCAATAGAGAAAATGGAAATAATGAACTTCTTTTTCTGTTTGAAGAAAAACAAACTTAATACTTTTCAAAAACTCATAATTTCAATTCTTGAAAGTCTGCAAAAAAAAGTGAAAATAAGATTCATTTTCAAAATACAGTCAGGCTGGAATTCACAGTGCAAGTATGGGCTTGATTCATTCATGCGATGGAAACTCAGAATATTATTAAATATGGAGAATTTCCATGAAGAGATTTCCCAAACGACATAATATTGAGCTGGAAGTACAGAACGTATATAGCGTGGCAGCCATTCTCATGCTAATTTTCTGAAAATTTGCATGAAAGCCACACGCTGCTCAATATGATCATTTTATAAGATATTTGCAGAGGAACGGTTGCATTTCAATAATAGACAAGGAAGCGCAAGAATTAAGTTATATCCAATCGACGATTCTCAAGGAACTACCTTCATATCATCGCGAAAAAGTCAGGTAGAAATATTGCAAGAGATTTTGAAAACTAAGTGTAAAGAGAGGATAACGCTCATTTAAATCTAATAAGTATGGCAATTTGCTTTCTTCACTATCTACTTCAGAATTTTAAATAAGGTAAGAGAGGATTCGGGTTGAATTTCTTCGAAGAAAAGGGTAGACGTAGCATCATCAACAGCAGAAGTCGGCAGGCGCAGATATGATCATAAATAATTTCTGAATTTTGCTCACTATGCCCCCGAATCTAACTATGACTTGATAATGTCGTGAATGAGGCAGGAAGATAAAGCAATCTTGAAAGAAAAACATGGATGTGTTTTTAATGAAAGAAATACTTCATTATTTTGAAAATAATAAGCTTGCGGCGAAAAACTTGAGCTTACGCTTCAGATAATAAGGCATTTCTTATAATATTCAACTTGTGTTTACCTCTATTATATGAACCCATGGAGGGAATGAATGAGAAAGCTGTTACTCGATTGCTGCTATAGATTTGATTTAGGAGTTAGCGAAAGCTGTAACACTTACTTTCATGGAAAGCGTGTGGAAGGTTTTTTATCTCTACAACAGCAAGATCTAATAGCGTTGAATGAATAGGAGGTGTAGGATGGTTGAGAAAACATGTTAGAAAGTTACAAAGAGGAAAAGAATTTATTAATGTGAGAGGTGTTGTTTAAAAGCTTTGCTAAGAGATTGATAATAAAGAACAGAGTTAGTCATTCCTTTCAAAGATAGTAGGAAGTTTGCAAACCGGAACAAACAGACGAGCAAGTTCTTGAAACCGATGATGAAGAACTCAGCCAGATGACACTGCAACGGCATCATCATCATTATCGTTCTCTAAATGCTCCATGACTATTCGTGGTTTATGCGAAAAAAAAAAGTTTTCTGGTTGAATGCAGAAAACGTTTGTAAACAAACGGAAAGAAAAACAAGAAAGTGTTCTAATTTGGTATATTCGTTAACATCCAAACATTGGAGTCATATCCGAACTCCAGTCTGACATTTCTCGGACATTTTTTAGCTCACGAGAATCGATGCACAATTGGCTACCAAAACTTTTTATTGGTTTAGAACTTTCAAAATTATCCCTCAAATAAAATCCATGATCTATATTTGGTTTTCAAAGTTGCCAAAGCTCAAGCCGCCTAAGCATTCTTTAGAATGGGAACGTCGATCGCAAGCTAAGGAGGGAAAGTGAACGTCTACCACATGCTAGGGATAAACATACTTTAAGTAATATTGAGAAATCCGAATTAATTCAACCACCCATACTAATACATAGAAAACGTTTGTCAGCGGGCAGACCCCCAGAAGATGTCAACTACTTTGCTCAGTTCCGTACCCTTCCTTATTTATTTCATCTATTCATCTTCGTTAACCTATTATTTCTCAGAATTTCTATTAGTCTTATATAAAGCTTCGGAAACGAAAAAGAGGCAACAATGGCTCTCTTCGCTTCTTCTGCATTCAGAAATAAAGAAGATACAAATCAGAAGTAAAGGAAAAGGAACAAACGTAGCCGAATTCCCTCAGTTTCCTTGCCAGATAATCGAATCAGAAGGACACAGCAGTAGTATTAAAGCAACAGCAATTAGCAGCAATCCGAGGCTGTCTCATTCCATCTCATCCCTCCAGCTTCTTCTTCGATATGTAAAATCCAAGAAAATAATGACTAAAAGACAAAAAACATAACACCGAATACCTAGAAGAGCCCTCTCGTATACAGCAACACACTCTTGCTTACCGATTTCCCCCTCACTTCCCAAAAGTTGCTTCATCTCATTATACTCTTCAATACGAATCGGAACTTCTATTATCAAGAAGTACGCAAACACTCTGACTCATAGGAGAAAAAATGTTTAGACTTCAATAAATTAATAAATAAAATAAATAATAAATAGAAAATAAAAAATAATAAAAAAATGAATAAATTTGAAGAAAAATATAAATCCAATTTAACAATCTTCGTCGCCTCATTTGGAAAGAATGCTTTCTTGCAGTAAACTCATCACGTCTTCCAGCTTGCGGTTTCCACCTAAACTAACCAGCTCGTTGTTGATTTGTTCACTTAGATTATTCAAGCGTTCAACTGTATATCTAAACGAATTATAACAACAATAAACAGTAAATGCAATTTTCGACGAAACCGGAAGGATCCTCTCTCTTCCATGAGTTTGATACAATATTGCTTGACATCCACAGAAGTTGTCCTTTGCCTCAAAATGTCTGGAAATATTCGTTTTACTATCCTTTTAAACCCTTATTATCTTACTCAGAACAGGATCATCATGTTTGTTCGCGAAGTTTTGAATTGAATGAATTATTGGAAAAGAAAACTTCCCCTCAGTCAAATCCTCGGCCACAGTTTTCAGTTTAGCCATATCACTTGAAACCAAGTTCAAATAGTCATCCCTGGGAAAGTTCATGGTGATCACCTCGTGAATCTATTACCTTATTTGAAAATACAGGGCTAGTAGACGTAACAAATTATGGAAATCTTTCTTCTTTGTACTAAACAGACTCATTAGACGAACAGCAAGAAAGAATAATCCGCCAGTTTCTTAAAGATGGAACAAATACTCGAGACATAATCTTTCCATACTTTGAATGACCATCATTTCATATTGGTTTTCATTTGGACATATGAGGGAATCGCGCCAGAAAAGCTCTTTACCTTGTCCTTTGTGCAACTCCAGAAGTTGCTCTGAAAATTCTGTTCACATTTTTTTCAGCTTCAACAGCATTTTTGCCTGTGAAAATCTGGGTGGCTTCCTGGGAGTTCAACTTTAAGCACTTTTCCAATGCGACAAAGTACACATAATTTGCAGTATTAATGGTTCTAGGGGTTCCATAGATGCTATGAGTAACTGGCAATCCTCGCCTAAGAACAGAACTGTCTTCAATATCATCAATCATGAGAGATGCGTTGTGAAGCATTTCCACAATCTCTGAAACAGCTAACTGTAATCAGAACCAACTGAAGTAATGAACCCATTATAGAAGTTAGAAGGGAGTGTTCAACATCCAGCCATTCATTAAAAGCCAGAGATAGCTTGCTTCTGATCTGTACCACAAAGTAAGAAGCTTTTTCTACAACTCAACCTGTTTTCCAGACATAGTTCGTATATACTCAAAGGGAGCCAGCAAACTGACTTCATCATCAACACTTTCCATTCCGTTCATTACTGAGCTTTGTTTAACATAAAAATTTGACAAAACGGAAAAAATATCTCAAGGTTCACCCTTTTCAGCAAATAAAGCCATGACAAACGAAGAATTATTTATAGTAACAAGCAAACCAACTTATTAATAAAAAACTTAATTAAACTTTGATAAAAACGAATATTACGAGAGGAGGTACACGAACAGCACTACAAGAGATCAAAAGAATCGGCAGCTCCTCTATAACATTTTTTTGCTTACTTAAACAGGCTTCTGAAGTGATCGTTGCTTAGATTTGAACCCAGTTTTTTGGAAGGAGTAGGAGCTTTTCCTCGTGTTGTTAACGATCGAGGTACAATTTGAAGAGTAGCTTTTCTACCTTCCGCAGTGATCTCAGGAAGAAGTGAACTTTTTGGATCAGATTTTTTTGGAGGATTCGATAAAGCTATGGACAGTTTCCTTTCTGAAATTGTGAAATCAAAAACATTATTCTTGCTTCCAGCATACCCAGTAAGATGACTTCACCATCAATAGCCTTGGTAGCAGCTTCTTCTGTCTCGAAATCGACATAAGCACAACCTTTAGACTTTCCAGATTTGTGTGTAACAATCCTAATATCTTTGACCACACCGAAATCGTTGAATATCTCCTGAAAACAAGTGTGTCATGATATTCATTGCAAGTATCCTTACTCTCAGTTGATCTTCCGTGCAATCGTAATGTATATTGCGTACAAAAACTTTATTTTTCTCGAGTCCTGTGCCATATTTGAAAGATTGTCTCTTCTCTGGATCATTAACAGATATCTGTAAAGAGGTTCACTGCATTAGGTAGCGGATTTGTTTTTCAAACCAGCATTGGCCGCCCATTAATAGGAGTTCTATCTTGAGTTAGAGCTAATCGTAGATTTTGCTCGGTATCAAAATCCACATAACCGTAACCCTTGTGCAGTTTGCTCGCACCACGATAGAGTAGACGCACATCTATCACTCCTTCCAACACCTATAGCAGTTGAAATGAGTGAAGGTTAGTCAAAAGATCTAATAAACATACACTGCGTATCTCGTCGGGTGTTACTTTGAAGTCCAGATTGGAAATGAAAACTGTGAACTTGCCATCAGCTGAAGCGGGAATAACCTCTTGGGAGCCAAGAGCTTTTCCATTTGCTTGGCTATCGTTAGCCTGAAATTTTGAATCATTGAATGAAGGTGATTAAACACTTACATTGGGTTTTTGAGGTCGACTCATCGGCAAAGTTGGCATAGCAAAACCATCTTTATCCTTGTTCACGGCAGGAGATGCACGGGCTTCCTGAATGGAAAATTAATCGGAAAAGCGAAGATTTACTCACTGGTGCTGATCTCTTATGAGGGCTACTATCCTCATTGTTACTGGATGGTCGTTTCCTGTCATTTGTTCTTCTATCCTTATCACCTCTGCTCTTCTCGTCTTTCTTGCCTTTTTCTTCTTTTTTCTGTGGTCTGTTGCTGCGATGACGAACTTGGTTGTTTACCTAAGCCCAATAAGATTATACAGGAAACGGTGAATTTTACAAACCTTTTCAAGAGCCAAATCAAGATCACTGAGAGACCCTTCCTCTCTCTCAAATTGGATGAAAGCTTCATATACAAGATTAGGGTGATCGCTCACAGAGTTCAACGCCTGGAAGGAACATGCTCAAGAATAAATTATGATGACTTACCTTATAGAACATCTTTCTAGCTCCTTCTACATTGCCCAATTGACGCTCGATTACTATACCTTCCAACCATTTCTCAGCAAATCGGCCGCCTCCAGAAGCTAATATATCTTTCCACACTTCGCGCACCTGAACAACTTTAATGATAATGTAGGATGAATCATTACTCACTTTGTTATGATCCTTCAGAACCGATTGATAAAAATGACTCAAATTCTTTCTGTATTCCATCTTGGGATCCCAATCATGGTCAAAATAATCGATTAAAACCTGCAAAACTAAGGAATTTGGCTCTCTTGAAATTAACATACCGCTTTTCCTTCTTCGAATACTTCTTGCATTTTGGTATAATCATTGTCCGTGGCAGCAGCTCTTCGACGTAGGAGATAAATATATGTCCTATAAAGAGCTCTTCCTTCATCAGCATTACTGAAAGAAAAATTAAAACCGACATAAATGAGAGATACAAACTTGATCGAGTCTTTGGACTGAGCCCAGTAACTATCAATTTTATTGTAGTCATAATTGGCTCTCTCAAGAGCTAATAAGAGTTGTTGCCATAGAGCACAACTGTAAAAACAACTGCGTACCGAACGCTCGTATATTTCGGCAACTATTGTAGGGATTTTAATTGTAGTCGAGGCCCAATTTCCATAGTTTAACCAAACTGTCTCATCCTGATTATGATGTGAAATGATACGTTCATATAGACATTGAACACGAGAGAGGTCACCCTTCTCTGAAACGGAAAAATTTTCAATGAAAAGTAATTCAGTTTTCAAACCCAATTCAAAATCGAGATATTCGCAAAAGACTTGAATATCATTACTGGATTCCTCCAACTGTTTCTCAAACTTAACGTATGCAGGTAATTCTTTAACCGTATTCTCATAAATCATTGAAACTTCATTTTTAAAACTGTCGCCTGAAACTCAGAGTGAATACTGTTTGAAAAAATATTTTACCGATCAGGTTCAAACATTGGTTGTAGATATCCTCAAGCGATTTAGTCGGGATTCGGAGGGCTCTCTTATAAACATCTAACAATGCATCTTCGCCTCCGTTTTCTTGCACTGAAAAATCAAAAGCATGGTCACTACTCTATTTTCAATTAAACATCTATACCTTTTGGGAGTAAAAAGTCAATATATGATTCCCATAGAAGGCCGCCGTCATCGAATCGCAATCCCAAGGTTTGAACAGCTTTTTCGAAAATCTAAAAAATTCTGATGTGAAAAAAAAAAGTTTTTTGAGCATTTACCGAACGCGTTTCCTCAGATGAACTGTTATCTAGAGACCAAGATATATAATCCATGAATATGTACACATCTTTTTGATCATTCAGAGCTCTTTCATACAGTTTTATCATCTCTTCTCTGGAAGTATCCGTTTGGGCGGCATCTCTAAAAAAGAAAGAACTAAACTAATATTCATAAAAAAACTAACTTGATCCACTCATTCCACATTGTAGAACTTAGTGATAATCGTTCGGAAGTAGATTCTCGAAGTTCGGTGAGACGTGACAGCTCACCATTACTTCTGTAGAGCTCCATCAACTCGGATATAATACTCAAATTGTTGGGATCATCCAAAAGCTACAAACACAGGGTTAATTCATATATCATTGAAATAACTCACCTTAATCTTCATCATTCTGGCATTCACATCTAACTCGGAGTCTAGAAAAACGACACTATTAGTTCGGAAACAATTTAAGAAGAAACATACTTGATGTGGGAGAAGCTGATCCTTCATCGTCTGACATAATGCACTAAAGTTATAAGTAAAGTAATAATTAAATATATAGTATGTTTGTAAACAAGCAAGGAGGGTACTTCAAGTAGAAATGCAAATGGTAATGCGTTGTATATCAAAGTGAAATAAATTCGAATATACTTCGCGACAAAACGGGTTGGCGTGTTTGCGGTGTACTGAGATTTGCTCGTGTAACTATTCAGCTTATGAGGGGCAATCAAAAGGAATTTCCCTTGCATATATTTTTTTGTATGAATCATCATAGCAATATTATATTTTATGATCTGATGATGATGTTTTCCTCTTCATAATACATTGCCTTTAGAATGTTAAGGAATGATATGGGCTTAGGACCCCCTTGTTATGATACTTCTTCCTTTCTTCTGATAATTAAGTATATGATGCGTAGCTGCACATCATTGTTGAGCGGAAATACGCGCAGAGCGGTCGCATTCAAATTTACCAAAACTTCCATCGATCGCTATTCTCGTGGTAAAAGGTTTCGTTAGTAGTTAACTATACGTTTCCATATTCCATATTCCTTTCCCTATTCTGCTTCTATTTTCAAACCGTGAACGAGTATTCTTTATATATTTCAATTAATCACTTTAACTTATATAAACAGTGAACTCTAAAGCTAATTTGTGCGGACCGAGACCAGTAACTTACGCCCGGATTAAACGCATACGTCACTGCTTCTTTTATTTGATTCCGTTCACTTCTCTGAGTTGTAGTTGTCTTTTTTCATGCATTGTCCATTATCTATCGTTTATACCTACAATTGTGATAAGATCCATTCTCTTCAGATGACAAACGTGCTGAGTACGACATATCAGAGTGTTCATTTGAACCCTGGAGATCTCATGTTGAGCTCCATGAGAGAGTCTATTACTCAATTGGAAAACCAAATTACTCATACTAGAAACAGTCAAGATCTTATGATAAAAAACATAACTGTCCTGTCTGATGTACGATGTTTGAATGATGCACAAGTGTGATTATTTATTTTAGTATCTGCACGGTTTTAACGAATCCGAAGTCCCATATGATTTACAAGTGTATGTAGACAAACTCCATGACTCCAAACGCAGGATTGCAGCTACTGAGACGGTAAAAGTCTTGTTCTCTCTCTTTTAATCATTTCTTCTTTTCAGACAATGGGTCAACTTCATGATCGTTTGAGTCGTTTACAAAGACAAATTGCGAGAGAAGTTTACAATACGAAAAAATTGATTCTTGGAAACGTTTATCCACCACCAGAGAAATAACTTAATTCTTCCTTTTCATCGAGAACTAGTCAATCATCTATTTTGATGAAAGTTTTGTACTTTGCTTTGAATACCTTATAGGTAATAACACTTCTCCGTTAATAGTTTTTGTATATTGCCTATATGTGATACTTAATTTATTGAAGTTTCTAATAAAATTAGAATGTTTGTGTGATGTTTGTTTCCACGTGGTGTCGCAGAGGCTGTGTCCTAGTCGTTTATCTGTAATCTCTCTGTCCTTGGCTTTCAGGTTTTAGCTTTCTCTAACTCTCAGAAAGCCAACGATGCTTTCACCTTTCTCTTTTTGCAATTGTGAACAGACATTTTCTCTGACTTCAGCTCTGTGTTTGTTCACGCCATCATTGATCATTAGTTGTGTCGAAAAATGACTGATAGCATGTGGTCTAGAGGGTCAAAGTGCCATCTTTTGCTCGTTTCAACAGTATTCTCATTTTCGAGAATTTGCTTATCACCTTTCCTCTTTACGATCAGCTGCTAAGCTTAATAGTTTCCCTGGACGTGATAAAATTATTATTTTTCTCTCTTTCACAATTCTAGGCATAACTCTCTTTATTAATATATCCTTTCGTAGCTTTTTAATTCTTTTAGTCCCCAGATCTCGATTTCGACTATTTTCCTTCTTTCAGATGTCCCGGCTCGCTCTTTTCAAAGCTTTTCGTCCTTTGACTTCATGTGCCCGTTCTATGTCCTCCTACCCAATCCCTGATTCGGTTTTTGGATTGACTGAAGACGATATAGCTGTAAATCGTATCTTCATGACTGCCATCAACAAATTATTTTTAGTTCCGTCAGTCTTTGAGGGTTTTCTCTGACAAAGAACTTGCTCCACATGCCAATGCTATTGATAAGAATAACGGGTGGGACGGCCTGAGACAATTCTGGAAAAAGTTAGGAGATCAAGGACTTTTAGGAATCACAGCACCTGGTACGCTGAATTGTGATTAAGTCATGCTGATCACCTTTTTCCAGCTGAGTATGGAGGATCGGAGTTCAGCTATTTCTCCCACGTTTTGGCCATGGAAGAACTTTCCAGAGCATCAGGAGCTATTGCTCTTTCATATGGAGCTCACTCAAACTTGTGTGTTAATCAAATCGTAAGAAACGGAACTGCCGAACAAAAGGCTAAATATCTCCCTAAGGTATCATTCGATGCGATGTTAAAGTATAATAAATGTTCTGAAAATTACAGTTGATCAGTGGTGAACATATGGGAGCCTTGGCTATGTCGGAACCTGGAGCAGGTTCTGACGTTGTTAGTATGAAGTTAACTGCAACAAAAAAAGGAGACAAGTTCTCTTATGATTTACAGCTTTGTTAACTTTCTTTCATATTAAGATATGTACTCAACGGTAGCAAATTCTGGATCACAAATGGACCTGATGCTGACGTACTCGTAGTTTATGCAAAAACTGATGCGTCTAAGCATCAGCATGGAATTACGTGCTTCATTGTTGAAAAAGTCTGTTCATCAATTCTGATTCGTCTTACTCTATCTGTTTAGGGTTTTGCTGGATTCTCGACAGCACCAAAGCTTGATAAGCTCGGAATGCGTGGATCCAATACTTGCGAGCTTGTGTTCGATAACTGTGAAATCCCAGGTTGGTCTTGTAGTTGGATGATTTACTTTACTCATTTTTTAGCGGAAAATGTCATGGGAGGAATAGGAAAGGGAGTTTATGTACTCATGACTGGTTTGGATTACGAGCGCCTCGTCTTGTCAGGAGGCCCTCTTGGGTATTATATAAAGTTCTTCTGCTCTTAAAATTGTCTTTTGTAGACTTATGCAAGCCGCTTGTGATATTACTTTCAACTATGCTCATCAGAGAGAACAATTCGGGCAAAAAATCGGAACATTCCAACTCATTCAAGGCAAAATGGCCGATATGTATACAACACTGAATGCATCTCGTGCCTACCTCTACGCTGTTGCTAAAGCTGCCGACAAAGGGAATGTTTCTAACAAGGTGAAAAAAAGCAAAAGGATGTTTTCTTGTCTAAAGTTCGGAAATCGAGAAGTGATCATTTTTTGTCTCAAAGAATTTGAAAAGAAAAGAAACTGGCTTACGTGAAACATCAGAGAATATTCATTAAAACTTCTCCGAATATAATAATGTTCAATTTCAGGATTGTGCCGGAGTAATTCTGTATCTTGCTGAGAACGCCACGAAAGTCTGCTTGGATGCTATTCAGATCTTGGGTGAGTTCTTTGAAAAGTTTGAACATTCTTTGAAATGTTATTGGAGCAACTGAATGACAGCGGCACACAACCGACTCTTACGTAGTTCCGAAATGAAATGATTGCCAATGTGACGTGTTTCACGTGAAATATGAACACAACGAAAATAGATAATATTCTGCTGTTTCAGGAGGTAATGGATATATCAACGATTACCCTACTGGACGTCTTTTGAGAGATGCTAAGCTTTATGAAATTGGTGCTGGAACTAGCGAGGTATCTTAAAGCATTTCTAATTCGAGCATATTTTCATTTCAGGTTCGTAGATTGATTATCGGAAGATCTCTTAACAAGGAATATAGTTAAATGTTTTGAAGAATATTGACTCCATAGAAATGCTTGTTTACAAGCAACATCGAGTAGTTTTTTTTCTTGAACCTGTGCCTTCTTTATTCAGATGTTTATATTTGTTAATATTATTAATTTGTTTTTTTAAACGTTTTTTTTTGAATAGAAATGGAATATGAATATGCGTTTATGAGATCTGTCGTTTGAAACTACAACACGTCATTATTAAAACCGATCGAAGATTTAAATGATACAATGTTTGATATTTATAAGGATTGAGCATTATCATTTAGCCGTAATTTTTGAAAAATGAGACTAGTTGAGGAACTGGTATGTTGATTAGATTGGTCTGTCATATCGATTCTATGCTAAAGCTATAGAAAGATCACACTGAGTTGTTAATGGCTGAGCCGCTATGGAGTAAGGCTACTCCTGTTTTGGAAGCCTTGGGACTCGGGTATGTTCGCCTCCGGCAAACGACGTTGAATAAACTGTCGACACTGGCTCGTATTGCTTTGATCCGTAGTGTATAGATGAAAGGATTCGATGCTAATTTTAGCATCACCTAAACAAGGAATATAATATCAAAACAAAAGGAAAACATCAGCAAAGTCATTTCTCATCCCATCCCTATCGCTTTCATTCAATTTTCTGCTTACTTTACTAAATTCAAACAAAAAGATTCGGTTTATGCGTTGAAGACAATTAGATATAGATGAGACAACAGACGGGCGCTATTCCACTGCCTTTCAGCGCTTTTAAACACACCCACATTCTCCAAAAAAATGAGATTTTTTTGGCCCCCGAACCATATGAGGAAGTATATTTCAAGCATTGTTGTCATAATAAAGCTTTGCATAATGTCACTAATTATGTGATCAACAACAATTTATGAAATTGCGGCTCTCAAACGTCCGACAAGAAAATTTTCTTACCAGCATCTGCACTGATGAGCTAAGGAATAAACCCAAGTAGAAGTCTACATCCACCAGATATGTGAAAACACAGCCTTCCTATAAACAGAATGAACTTTTTGAAGTTTAAACAACATGTTCGCTGGTTATAGACCTATTTGAGTAATAAGGGTACAGTCTAATAATGAGAACAAAAAATTCATCAGAATGTTGCACTCCCTATTAAATTCAGATGAAATTCCGAGCAGCTGCTTATATTCTACGAGAATTTAGTTGTGTTATTGATTTTCTTATTATTACAGTATGTTATAAAAATTAATTATTAAATCATGTTTTGTACTTAATGAGAATTTAGCAATTCTTTTGTTTTCGTGAACAATTAGAGATGAACTATCTCTCTGCATGGCCTCGGTTGTGAGCAAGGAGAGGCGGTGTTATTGTTTTTTCATATCAAGAAAAAATAAAACGAACCTTACACACGAGAACGAAATATAACACACACAGTCCCCAACTAAGTGAAAAAGTCGATACGATGAGTAGCGTAGTCCATACAAGCTTTAATTTTGAATGAACATTGGAGCGCCTTGAGTTATTATTTGTTAATCGACTGAATAGAGGTTGATTATCTCCTTAATCAATAATATGCGTTTACCTCTCTGTCGTACACATCTCAAATTCGGCTTTGGCTTTCAATAAATTAATGAGAATCATTCCATATATGAATAAAGTGGCTAATAGCGGTATCATAAATGTTAGAAAAATGGTAACCCGGAATGGAAATTTCTCATAAAACACGAAACGGCATTCCGGATGACGTAAACCATCTGATTCATTTGACATGAACCTAAACAGTTGAATTAATGAGGTGCTGTTTATCTTTTTTTTGAATTTAAATTATATATAATTGTTCTTAGTTCTCATAAATCTTTTTTTTTGTTCGTCGGAGGCAATTTCAAATGCTGCTCAAGAACCTACCATGAAGAAACGAAGAATAATGGAACAATCCATAAAGCAATAATGATGTAACGCATTCTTCTCGTTGTTACCATAATCTGCAAAGGGCATTCATTTTTTCCCAGAAATAGTTGCTTTTTTCGCTTCAATTGGTCCGAAGCTTCCAACTCTATGATTCACTGGAGCTTTACAACTGCTACTTCTACTTTTTATCACTCGCACTGCTTTTCAAAAACTATTTGACAAGCTTCTAAAATCTGAAAAGCCAGATCCCCAGAGATGGTTAAGGATTTGCGCTCGTTTAAATTGAAATGAATATGTTCGTGCATAAGCTCGTTTTTGCAGTAACAATCGCATACTACAATGACGTGAAGAAAATTCTTTTTAAATCGATTGGCAGCACAGAAGCTTCTGAATCGCACAATAATGCGATTAACTAATATTCCAACTTTCACATGTAACTGACATAATGTCCTCAGCAGCAATCTAATTAAATATTTCATAAAGCCATGACAATTTTGTTAATTATATCATGAGTATCATCAAAACGCTCTTACATCCATAGAGAGCTTCTTGATTGATTATATTTCTTTTTACTAATATTTAGTGGAGAACCTAATCTTATTCTTAGTTTATTCTAATTTTACGTCAGTCACGTCATTTGCCACTGGTCACGTGCCACGCGTAAACATGAATTCATTTAATTTATGCGAATTTTGAGTACGGTTGCATTATCATTTCATCAATCTCTTTATCCTCCTCCCCTTTCATACATTTATAGTTGAAAACACGCTTTTAACAGAATAGTCGTCATACCTTATATTTCAATGGCCATTTCGTTCCAACAAATTGATTTATTCCCAATGCGAATAAATGCAGATCTGATGTTAACATCCCTGATATTCGAAACATTTCTAGCCAAGCAAACAAACAATTGCTTTTTGTGGAGAATCCCAAGACAACAGGCATATACGAGTTAACAATAAGGCCTTAAATATGTATTATCTTTCATTTTCCAAAAAAAAAAGCTGAACAACTGTTTTATTTTCTATTAGTTTTCCAATTTTTAATGAATATCTTAAATTGAAAATGAAAAAGAATGTTGAGGAAACACGCGAAAGATCTCTAGCATACTGGGACATAGAAGGCATTTTCCTGGATCTATTTTTGTAATTAAAAAAAAGTTTCTTTTGTTCTGGTTGATGCTCAGAATTATGATAAGAAAGTACAAACAACGTTTGAGAGTTGAGCTGCTTAGCTCATGGCTCATTCTTTCACTGCATGAAATTATGAATACTCTGAGAAAAACATTTCATTGAAAAATGGATTTCGATAGAAGAGTGTTTGAAAACGACAAAACAAAAAGAGTTTATAGAATGGCTAATAAGCATAATGCATTGATGTAGTTAAGAGATACTACGAATGAGTAAAGTGACCTAGTTGTGAAATTAATAATGAGATGATCTTAATGATCAACCTCCCCCCCCTCAAGGCTATTCCGGAAGCAACATTTTTCATTGTTTTATTGGAAATTGTCTGACCTGTTATTAAAAGAAATGCTGCCCACATGTCGGCTGCAGCTAAACTGATGCATAATTTCAAATATGGCGAGACAGGTGATGACATCCACGGAGAAGAGAGTACTATAACACCATTACCAAAAATGGCTATCTGCAAAGAAAAACAAATCCTTTCTTCGTATTGAATAAGAAAAATTACCAGAAGAATTATAATCATAATTGGGATAAGCCATGAGTATGTCGTTTTCAAAAATTGTAGTAATTGATTAGCAGCTTCTTCTGATATATTTATAACTGGTTCTGGAGCTGATGTCGTATAGTTCTGCAGTAAGTCAGGAGGCGCCGACATAGTGGACGAAATCAGCATCTAGAAAGAGAGTTCGATTGAAAATAAGTTTAATATGTAAATTATACAAGAACAATGAGCGGAAATTACATGTTGTCACAAGAATTTGACAGTTTTCATCTGTCGTTATTCTCCCACCCATAGAGGGGAGACGAAAAGAAAGAGCTCAATGCGATGTAAGGTTCATTGCTTGTGGGCGGAGACAAAATTTGAAGAAAAAATTGAGAAAACTATAAATCCTTTGAACTTTCATGATAAGCTTAAATATTTAAAAACTCCTAGAGAATGGAGATGTATGTTGTAGGCGGAACAAGAATGATCCCTGAATTTATGTCATCCAAGGCATGGTGATTGAGGAAAAAAAAAGTAATTCCGTTCCTTCGGAAAGAAGTGAATAAATTAAGATGGGTTAGAAAAGCATTGCTTTTTTGCATTTCAGATTCCAAATTACAAGATGATGCAAAACATGTGCATGCACTTATGAGCCTTATACAATATTTACATTAGTCGAAAGCCTCATAATGAGCAATATGAAATGATCATGAAGAGAGACGTGTGAGCATTTTGAACTTTTTCGAAAAATTAACACAAATGATCCCTTCAAAAAACTTCCTGGATCTCTCTCTCTCTTTCTCTCTCTCTCTTTTACTCTCTTAGGTTTCAGTTATAGGAAAATGACATTTCCGTCTGGCATCCATCACTCACATCATCAAGAAGTAACCTGCCAACCTTTTTTTTCATTCTATTTGAAAGAGCGAAAGAGAACGAAAATGAAGAAACATTGAAATACTTGAAATGAATGATTAGTAAAAGGATAACCAATAAACGTCATAGAAGGAATAAAACTGATTAATAACTCCAATCATACCAAGCTCGATGCTATCTAAGGTTCGCATGGTCATGCTCATTTTGGTCACAAGCCATTTCTCATAATTAAGATGTCAAACAAGAACTAAACTTTCAAAGATCTTGAGCTGGAACATTTTAAGAGAGAAAAACAAAAATAATGAAAAAGTAAAAGTTAAGACATCCGAAGCTCTTTTTTGAAAGAGGATTGGCAGATGAGTGGCTCAATAAAGCAAAAGAGAGACAAAAAAGAACTTCCTTAGAATATATGGAGATCACTATCGGATCACTCGAAGTAACTCTTAGAACTCCGATTGTTTTGAATAAAAAAAGTGTTCTATTCCGAAAGGAAAGAAAGCATTAGCTCGAAAGACATTTGTTCATGATTGTCTCGATCTATAAGGCTTAAGCGAACAAGGTCAGAGCTATACACGAAAATTTGAGGAATATTTGAATGAAAATGTTGAAATGAAAACATAATGACGTTGGAAAACTAAAAACTTACTTCTTCTTTGTTTTATCTGAATTGAAATCAGATTCAGAACTTCGCCAGAGTGATTTAGAATTCACAAACCATAGGCTATGTGTGCGTGTGTATGTGTATGTGAGTGTGTATGTATGTTAAAAAGCAACGGATTAACTCGGAGCACTCCAAACTTTAGCGTGCTCTTCCTATTAAGGAAAAACAATGTATTGGGCTAATGTATTGAAAAGTATAATACAAGATAATAAATAACGAAAATAAATTTTGTAATACTATAAATAGATCTCCAAAGCAAATTATAAAAGAGAGACGCTTGTTTTTGTTTCGAGTTCAGATCGATCATAGAAGAAAGAATGTTGTAGCCATGTTTCTAAACTACAAAATAATCAAAAAAAAAGAAGAAAAGATTGCAGTCAGTTGCAGACTGATTGGAGATATAGTTCTTTAGACAGGGGGGGATTGAGTTGCCCGAAGTTAAGTCAAAATCGTAACCTTCAGTTATGCAGACAAAGCGGATCAGAATTTGCTAAGAAAAACTTCTCGAGTTTGAAACCAAAGCCATGGGAGAAATATTTTGAATGATTAAAGATTATCAGAAATAAACAACTCGAAGATATAAGCCCTATATTCGAAAAGACGATAATTCCCTCAAATTACATGTAAAAAGTTTCAAATTATAACAAAATAGCTGTGAAAAAGGAAAATTCAACAAAAATGTCTGCCATAAATAAACAAAGGAATCGAAATTATTTACATAACTAAATATCAAAGTACATTAGCATATTGTCACGTGAACTCGAGAGGAAATGGGCTGAAGCTTCGTTGCTCTGCAAAACTCATTTCAAACGTAATTTCAGTGGCGAACGGTTGCACAAATAATTATTTCTTTTTAATTCTAAAAATATTTTTTATAATTCTATTCCATAATTCTCTAATAAGTAATACTAACAAGGTACTATCTTGATATGAAAACAAACAACATCCCTCCCCTCTCTCCCTCTCCCCTAATAAACATACATCATCTTAAACAGTTGAACTGTTCAACTGGAAAGTAGGTGGGCTGATTAGCAAATTACTACTTTACTACATCATTGAACATATTGAGTAAGATATTTGTTATAAGATTGGACGGTAAAGAGCTGAAGATTCTGACTGCATGAATTCAATAACGGTGATGCTACTTGAAGACAGTGGATGGAGAGAGTGAGAGAGAGAGAATTAGTAGGAGAGGAAAGAAAGAAAGAAATGGTCGACACTGGTCGATGACAACAAGAATTTCCATAAAATAAAGAACGGAATATTGAATAGAAAACATTTTCTCGGATTTGTCATGTGTTTCATCAGGCGATGAATTTCAAATTTTTACACAAATTTTACATTTGTCCATGGTATTGAACGGGTGGCAATGGCTTTGACTATATGTAGTAGTATGGCATCAGAAATGGAAAGATTAAGATATTTATATTTAAATTAGTCTTATTATGTATATTCATATTTAAAAAATGGAAAGAAGTATGAATATTCCAATTACATTAAATGCTTAAGATCAGAACTATCGCCATGTTCGAGTACTATACACATCTATGTGTATGGATATGGATAGTTACATAGATAGATAGATACATTTATATATATATATATAAATATATATATAAATGTTATATGTAAAAATAAAAATATTTGAGCAAAGTTCTTGTTAAAAAAGGAAATGGAAAATGAGAATTGAAACAATAGAAAACACTTTCGAGGCTGTCTCAGATATCTTCGCTCGCTCATAACTTCATTCCATCTCAAGACAACTTTTGCTTTACGAAAGGTTATATCGGAAACAGCAGCTACACGATGATACCAAAAATATATTTTTAGTCAGCGGAAGCTTTCATTTCTCATGAAATTAAGTAAGGTCATCTACTGATAGAAAATAAACATTCGAAGAGATCTATAAAGAGCGAAATGAAAATGAAAAAAAAGAAAAGGGGGGTGGCGAGGAAGTAGAAAAGATAGACTCGATCAAAAGAATTTCTCACTTGATCTCAACAGCTAATAGATGAGAAGTTTTTAATTTCAGAAATTATCCTCAGTGAAAAACATGTTGAGGTCACAGTCGAAAGCAAAGCACATCAGCGAAAGCAAAAAGCATAAACGTAAAAGGGAAAGAAGATAGAGTAGTAAGACATAACAACTGCAAGCGAATATCGTTCCATTATGACTATTCGATATCTCATGACACAAAACGTTATTCTACTAATTAGCATACAACGTTCACATGAGCAATGCTAATTTTATCATTTCTAATATGTAGTCTAGATGAATCGGTTGTACTTTCTGAACTCCGTCTTCACTCGGTCAAATAGAGTGAGAAGGGTGTCACTATATTTCATCGGAAACGGAAAGTTATTAAAAAAAATTTTAAAGGCTCAAAGATGAGTGAGAAACGAGCAAACTGTGAAGTGATGATATGTTGTGAATTGAGAGAGTAGAAGAAGTAACCCATAATTGTTAGAAGTGCATCTTAAAATCATGACGCCAATGTAAGAAAGTACTGCTCTAATTAAATTTCTCATTTAAAAAACATGAACCTCACTTTTATTCAAAAAAATATAATGAGCTGTATAGCATAAGATGAGAGTATGTTGTGGGTATTATGTCAGTTACCAGGCGCCATGGGATCTATAAGCTTGAGGAAGATCAAAGCTTTAGGTTTCTCTTGTTTCAACGTTGAGCTGTTCCGGTCAAAGGAACAAAGAGAAGAATCACGTTTACATCTTATCCTAAATCATATGACACAGAAGAAGAAGTAGAAGTAGTAGTAGGAAAAGAATAAGAAAAAAAGAAGCTAACTTAACCTTAGAGCGATAAGACGGAAGTAGGGAAGAGGAAAACGGAGAGGCGAAGGATGGAGTGTTGGCGGAACTTGGGATACAGAGTTTAAGAAAGCGAGAAAGCACAACTCGGAAAGAACATTGACTTGTAGTTATCAAAACGTCATAGTTTTTCTTACAGCATAACCAATATTTTTTTGGCAGCTTTACCCTAAGTGTCGGGTTGCATGAGAAGCTAAAAGTATCATAGAGTGAAGAATGACACAGAAATAAGTGGGGTAAATGGAAGAGGCACGAGTTACACAAGCTTCCAACAATGTCCAGCTCAATTCACACACATTAGAAGAATATATACAAGAAGCGAAAGTTTGCAAATTTGTTCTTAAAAAGATCTATTGCTTTGCAAAAAATTCAAAAAAAAAAGATAAGTTACAACACGAGTACGATGACGAGATTTTTTCGAGAGTTCAGGACGATCTCCTAATATTCTATTTACTCAAGCTGAAGAGGCAACAGAATACGAGAACATTTCCTAGATGCTTTTCCAGATTGAACTTGCCTCAAGATATTTGATTGTAATTTCGTTTGAGCTTTGATGATGGTCCAATGCTGAGGAGTAATTTCGTGCGAAAAGGTGATAAAACATTAATTCGGAATGCTATAGCATGCATGAAAAGAAACAAAAAGTCGAAAGGAACAAAGAGATATTTCTTCTACTTTCGTTCAAAAAAACTTCTTTTAATTAATTAAAAGAGAATGTATATATCATAGCTGTTCATTATGTCAAAAACATGCCCATGGGACGGTAAATAATGCAAAATTTGAGACGACGTAACACTCTGCACAACTTGGATGAGTTTCATTCCAGA